TAGGACCAATTACTTTTAGTGTTCCTGCAGAATATAATGGGTGGAGATGTCTGGTCTCCTCAGGAAATTGCCGCCACATCCCAGACAAAGTGACAGACCATTCCCACACCCATTTTCAGACAATGAAATTGAAAGACACTCTAAAATTAAACAATTCTCTATTTCAGTGCTTTTTCTGTTTCAGTGCTGTTCATACTGTTATATTGTCATATTGTAGATACTGTAAATCCACCTACCTCAAGTCATTACTCCTGCACAAAATACTTAAGTACTTATTTATTCCAGCATCCTTTGCACTCTGCTCACTGCTTTACCTGTCAATAAAGCTGATACTGATAAAATAAAAGATGGTGTCATTTGCCTTAGCTTAGCGAAATTGAAAAGAAGTATATTTTGGTGCTATCTCCTTTTGTGATTTATTTTACAGAAGAGGAAAATCACAAATTCACTGGCACAGTGATTCTGAAAACAAAGCATTTTCACCTTTATGTTACTGTGAGTCACTGAGGAGAGTATTTTACTTTAGCGGTTGAGCGGCCAGCCGGAGTTAGTTTCCGTGTATGTTTTGTTTGTATACAAGTGTGTTTATGTAGAAGGGAGACAGAGCCTCTGCAGCAGGGGCCTCGTGGTTCTGTCCTGCCCTCCCCTGCACTCTATGAGGCAGTGTTTTGGACTGGGGCCCAGGACCAAGCCTGAGGCACGTTGCTCCGCTCCAGCCTCTCCAGAGAGCCGACTCTCACTGACATTACATCAGCTGGGGAGAAATAGTAGACTATGTGTGTGCTGTAGATGCTTTTTTCAGCCTGTTGCGCTGAAGCAAAACAAAGTGGTCTGCAGATCCTGGTCCTGAAACTGTGAGGTGTCGTCAGTAGAGGCAGAAACTGGCTGTCAGGGAGAAAAGGCTGCTAACCATGGCTGTGCGCATCATCCGCGGAATGGAAGACCTAGTGGCATCAGGCAGCCAGCTCGTCTGGAGCCTGGCACATCAGACCCTGAGGAGGTGGTACAATCGTGGGCTTATGCCATGCAGACGCTTCCTAGAAGCCTGGTTCAGGATTGGAAAATGCTACCAGGTATGACAGCTCCTAGAGCAATGCAGCATAAAGAGTTTAATTATTGCATGTTATACTTATTGCTGAGTGCCAGATGGATTTCCTTTATTACCCATTTTGTATGGCTTCGATTACCTATAATCTCCCTTCAACTTTCCACCAAGTGAAGTGAGTCAGTACTTTTTCTCCTTTGGCTCATTAGCGTATGCATGTGTTTATTTGTGTGAATGTGATGAGGTGCGGGCTGCCTCTTGGTGAGTCACAAAGCCTGTTTTTTTTTAACAAGGATCTCTCTCTCTCTCCCAGCACATATGGCAGTCATTAGAAAGCAGCATGACCAGCCGTTTGATCTCAGTGTCTGGCTGAAGAGGAGAACTTTCAAAGTTGTCTTTGAAATGCATTGTTGCGGGAACACCAGAATACTGTCTCTGTGGTTAACACATCCTACTTGCTCTGTGTAAACTTGAAAGTGTTCTGGTTCCTCTTTTTTTTTTTTTTTGCTTTTTACCAGCATACTGCCAGCTGAAAATGTATTTTGTGCTATTGCACTTTGGACTTAAGTTTAAAACTGTTTTTCCATTACAGTTACAAGGTACATCATCAATTCTATAATCAGTTGTGTAATCTATTCTGTTACATTCAGATTCTAGATTTCGCTCAGGTTGGTATGCAACAGAACCCCTGATATTCTCTAAACAGCCCTCTGAGTTTCTTGCTTCTCTTTAAAAGAGTTCTCAGAAGTAACACAAGTATCAGATCTTCATTTATAAGCCACATCCCGGATTGCTGTATTTTTCCCTTCATGTTTACATACACTGCAGTGGAAGAAGTATTCCCAACATTTACATCAGTGAAATTAGCAATACCACTCTATAAAATGACTCTATTCCAAGTAAAGGTCATTGCATTACTAATTTCACTACAGGAAAAAGTACAGAGGTGTTGGCAACAAAATGTGCTGTATCAAGAAGTAAAAGTACTCATTATGCAGAATGGCCCCTGTCTGTGTTATTATTATATTACTGGATCATGATTAAAGATACATTAATATGTGCAAGTGCTACATTCATGTTGTAGTTGGTCAGGGTGGAGCTATGTGTAACTTTTACTTTTAATACATAACATTGCGTTATGTTTTATAAAGCAATCATATGGTTTGTAAAATTGGAATCTGAAAATTAACTTATAGCTGCTAAATAAACGTAGTGGAGTACAAAGTACAAATATCCTTCTGAAATGTAGCAGAGTAGTATTAACCTGTTTAAAGCAGCAGGGTGGGCCCGGTTCAGCCTGATCAGGTCAGTGTGGCTGGGGGTCATGAGAAGAAAGTACCATCGGGTCTTTAGGGGGTTGACCTCCCTGACACAGTCGTGACCTTTCTTTTTGTCATCGGGGACCTTGCTCTGAAGCTCAGGTCCTCTCTTCAGCTGGACAGAGGGCAATGATCTCTGTCAGCATTTGATAAAAAAAAAAAGATAAAATTGTCTGGCAGCTTTGCCAGTGTTATTTTGTTAATGCAACTGTGAATATTCTACTGTGGATCCATATAGAAGTATACTACATCTTCAAAGGGAGCGTTTTAGGAATTAATTTACTGTTTGATTCGTCTTTTAAAAGTGGTTGAGCGTGAAGATACGGAGAAAAGACTTGGACTTGGAGTAACTTGCACAGATTTTGAAGGTGAACCTAAGATTAAATTGTTGGCTATGAGCTTAACGATCAGACTAACTAAAGGCCTTTGTCCATTCCTCCATGTTTTGATTCCATTGCCCAGAAACAATGCAGCATTGATAGATGGGCTCTTGAAAGGATTGTGCGCTGCTGGACAGCCACAACAATTCATGAAAGGGTTACTATAGTGATTAATCCCAGATTAAACTATGGAACGTGTGTAATTAACCTCCACAATTATTTTTTTTCCTATCAAGACAAATCAAATAAACATGTGGTTTTCATTGAGGTTAGCTTCAGTAGTTCTTTAGAATCACTGGCAAAGATTTTTGCCTCTTCTGGACCACTGAGATGTGGAGCTTAAAACGTTTCTTCCTGTGCAGCACACATCAGACAGTACAAGGAATGGGCATGGTGTTGAAATCTGAAGTTAGCACAATAGCAAGTTAATGTGACTGCAAATGAAACCCTTTGTTAACAAGTACAGATTTACCCACAGAACCATAAATATCACTGAGGGTTAGAGCACTAAAAAACAACCAAGTGGAAAGTAGCTTGTACAGTATAAAAGTTAAATGACAGCACTGTTGTGGTACAGAGAACAATATGTCCTGGTAGACTGAAGTTTAACACCAGGCCAGAAGGTGTTTTCCAGCCCTGCGGCCACGCTGGCCATCAACATGACCCTCCCTTTCCACCACAGAGGCCAAGCAGTTAGATGCCACATGTTTTTCACTGAAGTCACAGAAATAAAAGGCACCCTGGACACATTCCTGGGCAATAAACAGCATCCAGTCAACAGGAACATGCAGTCATCACATTGAGGTTCTGCCCAGTGTCACTGAGATCAAACAGTAGTAAAATACAGCTGATGCTGTAAATAATATAGAAGGTTCACAGGATGATGGAATAGGAATGAATCCTTTTACAGCATGAGCAAGACCCTGTTTCTGACTCTGTGCCAATTTCCCAACCACTAAAAAACATATTTGTAATTCAGAAAGATTCTGTGTGTATAATTTCACTGTGATCATGTAGCATCTTTCTGATTTTTCTGATGGAATAAGATTTTATTTGTAAAAAATCAAACAGTCCTGGTAAAATTGGTGCCTTTTAGCCTACTCAAAGGGTACTGGCATGCACTGCTGTCTGCTACTGTCTCCTTTTTGGGGTGCTCCAAAGTCCGTAATTCAAGAAATTCATGTAGTGACTTTAATTATGTGGATGCATTGTATCACACCTGTTCAATCAGACCTTGCCTTTATCCATGTGTTGTTGAACCATAGCCAGTGATTCAACAAAATATTTGGTAAATGACCTTAAGCTTGTGAGACTGTAACTTTGAAAGAATAAATAACACAAATTAAACACATGAATTCATAAGAAACAAATTCACCCTTGGTTTACTGATACGCCCTTACTTGGTCTGGTATGACCAGTAACTAGGCAGCTGTGGCTCAGGAGGTAGAGCGGTCGTCCACTAATCGGACAGTCGGTGGCTCAATCTCGGCTCCTCCAGCCTGCATGTCCTTGAGCAAGATACTGAACCCCACATTAGATGAAGATTGTCCAGTTAGCACTTCAGCTTCTGCTTCTTCTATGGCTTGACTTCATCAGCATACAATAAGATTTCTACCTTGTCCTGCATTGAAAGGCGCTTCTGCTGACTGCTACAGAATTAATCTTAAAACCATTCATCTTGAACAATACAGTCGAAATTCAATTAAACTATGCACCAGGACTTCATTGTCTTTTGATTGTGTTTCTTACCAGCAGAGGAAGATGTGGGATGCTGACATTTCAGGGATTTTCATTAGACCAGTGTTGTTGCAGAGGAAGGATATGTGGTTGAAAAGGATGATAACATGTGTGGAGTCTTAATGGCAAAAAGAAACTCTTTGTTTATGAATCGTGGTGCACTTATAAAAAGCTGATTTATGGCTGAAATATTGCTGCACTTTAATAAAAAACAACAACTTTTAACCAATAAGGATGATGATCTTTCACTGACTGTTGATGTTTCGGAGCATGGGTCCCTTATGGACAATTGCCCAGTGGCTCCTCTTACCTATTCATTCGGCACAAAGACACACATGACATTGAAGTGAGTCACTATTCAACGTGAGAAAGAGAAGCAGCCATTTTATCCCTGGGCTAAAACAGTGGAAGCCCGGCTTTTGAGTGGAGAGGCACAGGTGGAGGTGGAGACAATGCTCTTGCAGTGGCAGTGCTGTCTTGCAGGAAGTTTCATGTTTCATGTTATCTGTCTTCCTCCAGATGACCGAGGGCCGTCTGTGCCAGGTTCACCTCCTTGATGGCAGGAAGCTGGAGCTGCTGGTTCAGGTAGTGGACAATTTCTGCTTGCAATCTTTCTGCTGCATACCCTCTGAGGTTTTCCTGATGTACTGAAATTAGGTTGGAATTCATAATGTGTGTTGTAAAGAAAGTCTTATTCACCATGGCTTCTATATTGATTTTATTTCTTGTCAAATTGACCTCGTCAACCTTTTTCAGTGAAATGCTTTATGAATGTCTGTCACATGTACACTTGTTTCCCACCTTCTGTCATTTCTTGTTGTGTTTTTGACATTCTGGCACATGAATTTTGAGTTAGCATACACATGATCTACATTGAACTCCTGTATTTTAATCTAAACTTTCCAGCCCAAGCTGTTGTCCCGTGAGCTGTTAGATTTGGTGGCCTCGCATTTTAACCTGAAGGAGAAAGAATACTTTGGGTTGTGCTTCATAGATGACACGTAAGTACATTTCCTAATGTAATAGATATGTTCTAATAGTGTGTGTGTGTTCGTTTAATTAAAGCTATTGGTTGATTTAGACCCAATCCTTGTTGACAGAAATCTTAAAAAAAGGAAAAAAGAAGTGAGAAACATTACAAAAAGCAGTATTCTATGATTTATTCTTTTATCCCTGCTCAGTGGCCAGAATAACTGGCTCCAGCTGGATCGTAAAGTCCTTGATCATGACTTCTCCAAGACTGCAGGGCCTCTGGAGCTGAAGTTCCTTGTGAGGTAAGTGCACTCGCTGCAAAAGCTTGCCAAATTTGGATTACTGGTGTGCTTTATCAGAAACATCAGCCTATACTGACAATTGAAAATCGCACTATTTTACATTTTAGACTGAGTTGTCAATAATTGAAGCCTGCTTTGAAGCAAGTTGGTGTATTGAGAGCTTTGTGGCGTCCACAGCTTGTCCTGACCAGCAGGTGGCAGTGATGGAACACAGTTTACATCTTGCTGTGTAACTGCTAAATTATATTGAACATGATGAATAATTCTGAGGCACTGGTAAAATGTATTAACACTATTTCAAGTGAAGCTTGCTGACACAGAAAACTCTACACAGGTTTTATATTGAGAAGATCACCTTCTTGAAAGAGAACCCAACAGTGGAGCTGTTCTTCCTGAACGCTAAATCTTTAGTGTTTAATGTAAGTGTTTTTAAGCATTTATTTTCTAAAAACCTTGTCTAATATATTTTATTTTTGTATCCTAGTAATCCTATAGTTTCAGATCATTGCACACAATAGTTGATTGATTGTTGAAGGTGCCTAATCCAACTATTGATCTGCCATCAATGTTGATCCCATAGACTCATAAGAAACAGATTTCAATCAACTGGGAGTTGATGGTCAGTATGATCAATATGTTGCACATATAGGCCTATTGTTGTCCATATTACATGTCCATATTAAAAACTAACTTATAGGCTGTCTATACTGTGTATACTTTCTTTGCCAAACTCAATGCCCATTGATTTAGCAAATAGCATAAAGATTGGAATGATATTTCCTAAAACCTACAGTTTTTCATGTTTTCATGACTTGAAACAGTTCTGAAACTCCTACAGATCACACTGCTTTGTTATGAGATCTCAAGCAGTTTCAAAATGCTGCTTTCAAGTGCTGTTGGAAGTTTTACAATATTACACAAAGTGCATGACTCACTGTAATGTAACATGTCAAGTAATATGTTATTGTTTAATGCAATTGTTTGTGTGTAGCATTTACAATCATTATAATGGTGTTAAGCCAAGGACCAGTTATTTCAAGTGTGTTACTGTAAACTTGTTATAACATAGGTCAAATTAAAATAATACTATTCGGCTAAGTCTATTGATACCTATTATTAAATCTCGGTTATCATAAATGAAGTTATTGGGTGTGCGAAGTTTATTGGAAAATAAGTGTACTAGGCATGAAGTGTAGTCACTATATGCGGATTTGTAAGTTTTGGAAACGTACGAGGAGCACGTGAACGCGGCATGTGGTCAAACGTTGCAGTGCAGTTTTCTTTCGCGGGGAGAGCAGACTGGTCACCATGGGAGACGGAGACTGTTGAACCTGCTTTCGGACTGTACCACTTTACTCAGGGGGACGTAGGCTCAGGCAGGACCTTCAGTTAGTCTTTCTATGCACCAGTGTGTGTGTGTGTTTTTTGTCGCCTATACAAAATGTCTCGATAACTCGGGTGCTGAAAAACAGAATTAAATACACTTCTTGGACAGTTTCAAACACCATATTCTCTCTGTGGCAGTGGTTCAGTCGGTAACGGTGGGACCGAGGTACGGGACGGGAAGATTTTCTCTCAAGTCAAGTGTGTCGGACAGGCTGCACTTGCGCATGTGAGTGTGTTTTTAAACCCTAGTAATTTGTCCGTTATTATTTTATTTTTTTTTACAACAGGAGACCATCGAAGTGGAAAGTGAAAATGTTTTCAAGTTAGCCGCATTCGCATTGCAGGTAAGAACCCGTTTGTCGCAGGCTTTCTAGACAGATTTTGTCACTCGCCCCAAATGTGAATGAAAACGGTCGGGGGGGCTCGCAACATTTGAACATTTGATGCTTTGGTTTGGAGCTATTGTTAAAAAAACTGGCCCTTTTTATATTGATAAATTGAGCTTGTACTTAGACGCAGTGTTTTTCTTGTGTTACATTGAAGTAGAGAAAGTAAAATGTAACGTAGTCAAATTAAACGTGTTGAAGTTAACGTTAGCTTTACATTTAGCAAACAATAACATTAGCGAGTTATTATTAAGTGTTGCATTTTCCTATATTTCTTAGACTAACTGCATTGTTTCCCTTTTAAGGAGGCCAAAGGAGATTACACCAGGTAAGAAGTATTCAAAATTAAACGTTAAAGCCCTTAATGAGCTAAATGTAAATGTTTTGAGTGAGCAAGAAAACATGGTGTCATTAAATAGTCAAGTTCATCTGGAGATACGATGTTTTTTTTAAAGTTAAAACATCTCGAAATGTTTGCTGTAACATTATTGGTATACACTGACATTCGTAAAACCTTTTCATGAACTAGTGTCTGCAGTTTAATCTAAACTCCGCATATTTTATTAACAAAAGTGTTTGCTTCTGTACTCTTGACAAGGAAGCAGGGTTTAGTTTGTCAAGTTGTTTGGTCAGTGCTAAGTGTGTACACGATGGCTGTGTGTAGCCAGTTAATGTTCAATTAGACTTTCTCAGATTGTATTTGATGCTGGACTCCCCTCAGTTAATAATTCCCTTGATTTTGCTCTTGTGACATTGAACTGATCCTCTACTGGCTCGCTGCCATCCACATGGTCCAAACTTTGGCTTTAGAGTCAATTGTGTTTACAATTACAACAAAACTTTACAAAGACACTTCTTTTCTGACATGTTTTGATTGCATCACCTCCTAACAGCTGTCACATTTCCTGACAGACATGGCCTATATGACGCATACATGTACATTGTGTACACAATTTGGTCGATGACACTGGTGGGAGACAAAACCTCCATAATCTGTTCGCTAGCGGAGACAACGTTTTCACAGTGGGCCTTGCTCTCAGAGGTCTGACCTGCTGATAGGGTATGTTGTTTTATTGACTGCTATAGGAGTGAAGGGCATTGGCTGCGATTAGTAGACACTGCACTGTCTGATTGAGTGACTGAGCAGGTTGAAGCAGCACAACTTGTGTGTTTTCCCGGTGCTTTGCCTCTAAAGGCCTCACTGTCCATTATGTGAGCACAAAGATTTGTGCTTTGTAAGGAATTGTGCATGTAGGTTTTGAATGGCCAAACATGCAATGCTGAAAATGCAGTTTGAGCCCTTGTCAAACTCTTACCTTTTGTTCTCTTGAAAAAAAAAAAAACACTTGGCTGCATTTGCATGTGCTCATTAACTGCCTTGTTATTTACAGACCTGATAAATGTTAATTATTAGTTATTGCAGCTTTAGTGCAGCTTTATGCTTGTGTTTTTATTTAAAGCTGCTTTACCCTGAAGTGAAGTGTGCTTTCTGAACTCTGCTCATGTGGGTGTGGGGATGGGCTGTACTTTGCCCTGACCTTGAAAGCACAATAAAAGACAAACTGCCAACAAATCTGGTACAATCAGCGAGGATGGGAGTGTGTCCAACTCTAGCTGTATTTTTCTTTAGTTTTCACAGACACTAGCCTATTTTCCCCCTGCTCATCCTAATTATGGTTTCTAGATATTTAGTTGGAAGGCACTTAGAGAATTGTTTTGTCATTTGACAACAACAATAAAAGCTGTTTCCTTCTTTGGAGAAATGTGTTTATATGTATATAACGGAAAAATAAAAATGTTTTCCTCAAACTTCTTTTACTTTAATGTACCACAGGCCCCAATACCTAACATGATGCATTCCCATCCTGTGGCAGTATTTTTCATTCCTGTCTGCGGTGTCCTTTATTTCTGCTTTCTTGAGAGAACAGGCTCGGTAAATCCCCTCATAAAGCATATAATATAAATGTGTCTTCTCTACACTCTATCAGCAAAGGGCCCCTGGAGCAGTGAGATTAACTGTGGAGGAGTTAGGGAGACCTCCTCCTCCTACAGCCAGCTGCCTTAAGAGGGATGAGCCAGACCCACTGTCCAATTGTAGACAAGAAGGCGTCAGAAGGACTCACTGTAGTCATGTTATTGTGGTGGTGGAGTGGGCCAACCCCCTGCTGTGCATTGAATTAATGCACCATCAGGTTTCACATTGTGCTTGTATTGTATCAGAGTTCCCCTTTGCCGTGTCGGTATTGCATTGCATCTTGTTCTTACTGTACTGAGGTATAATCCATAGCTAAATGCAGCAAGTTACAACTCTTCTCTGGGGGTTGATGAAAGGTATTGTGGACAACGTAGGACATCACTGAACTGATTTATGCCTTCAGTTATGCCTAACAGAGTAACTGAGCTGGGATTTGTCTATGCCATTATATATATATATATATATATACACATTGTCAGTTGTGCTCTAATTTTATCCACATGAACCAATATAACACCCAGATAGTTTTAGTCCTCAGTCCTATTTGCAGGTGTAGCCTGTAGTTAGTGGTTCATTCACAGCAACAGGCTCTCTCATTGTGCTCCCTCCACAGTCACCACGTCTCAGCCATGTGGAATAGCTGACACATGAGTATTATCTCTCCCACACTGGGAAGACTGCGCTGCGCTGGGCTGGGCTGTACAGGGTGTAGGAATTGCCCCCACGCTGCAGGCTGCAGGCAGATAACAGACGTGGTAATGAATTCCAGATTGCTGACACGGCAGCGTGGCTGCAGAGCAGATCACCCCGACAACGCCAGGCCCCAGCTCCCCATAAAATGTATGCCATCAAACACACAGCGAAGTGCCGTGGCAGCAAAACCCAGTCAACCTAGGAGAGGTAGCTACGGGGAAGAGTGATTCAAGTGCTTCTGCCCTTGCAGTGGCTCACTCTTGTTTTTGTTTAGTATGCTGGTTCACATAACTTGCTCATAATGGTTCTGTTCAACCACGTCAGCAACTGTTAAATTCCATTATTCTTGAAAGAAGAAGACTTAAATTGATGTTCATGAAAGTCATCTTAAGGTCAAGTGGCCCTTTGTCTGAGATCATTCAATACTTATGTTGATATGTTGAGGTTATTATTAAAGCTGGTACAATCCTTGAGGATGTTCTAATAATTTTATATTATAATTTATATTATAAGTATGGTCTGATCTACACATTTGAGTTCTGTCTCCGAGGCCACACACTGTTTTGTAACAGCGCTGGGGCTCATACAATACTTTTCAACACAGGGAGAGGCTTCCAAGTGCTTGTGAATGGCTTTTGGTTGGTCTCGGGTGGACTGGCCTGCCAAGCCAGAGCCCCTTTTGTCCTGCAGAAACTGTAGACCCAGTTTTTGCTCCTACATAATGTTGGATCGGCTCATAGTTCACTATCATAGACAATGACAATTTGTCTGTACAGTTAACATTGCCAGTTTCTGTGTTTACTACAACACTCAAAGCCTCTGCTTAACATTATTGGCAGAGTTTGTGGGTGAGACAAACTGTAGGCTACCTGTTGCATCTGTCATGCTCTTATTATTGCCTAATATGTGAAGGTGAATAAATAAAAAGTACTTTACCCACAGTACATAGATTAACTGTGGAGTGCATTACTGTTGAGAACCTGCATGAAATGGTTTTTATCATTTTGAAAAGATTTATTGCCAAGCCCCTGAAAAAGGCTCCCTATGACTTAAAGGCCCTGTGTGTGCTTTTAGACTTAGTCTTTCCAGACTTTTAAATTAAGTCTGGCAAGACATGAGTGAAGCTCAAGTTTAGTCTTGGCAAGCAGCACTACTCTTTATACTGTACATAAGAAAGATGAAAACAAGATCCTGACACTGCACCTTTTTCTAAAGGTTTGCAAACAGGAATTATTGCCGTCATGCCTTAAGATAGAAATTCAAACCACACTGTGAAAACACATCTGGAGATGTGTTCTCTATGCATTTTTAGACTTTTACTTAAGATTCTTGTGTAAACATCTACCTTGACTTTCTGGTCTAGAGCACTCAGTCATAACAGGATACTAGATTATTATTATTATTATTAGATATCTAAGTGTAGAGATTTGCATGTGTAGGAGAGTTGGTAATTGGACCATGATAATGTGTCTTTCATCAATAAACAATGTAATTTTGGTGCTTGTGTTGCTCTCAGCTATAAAGCATAAATGAGCAACTAGAAAGGACTCTTGTTATTGTGAATTAATAATGTGTGGTTGTTCTCTCTTAAGTGTATATTATTTTTTCTCCAGTGCTGAGACTGCCAGATCAGACCTGAAGCAACTCCCAGTTCTTCCCACCAGAGTATTAAGGGAGCATCCATCTCTCAATTACTGGTAAGTTATCTGAGCTGTTGAGGTTTCTGAAAACAAACCACAAAATGCTTAAGGGCCCGTGGTGTGGGAGGGTCGCTGTTTGGGGATCACACACAGCCCCATAGATACTCATGGTTCAGCCAATACCACAGCCCTTCCTCAACAATGTACGCTTACAATTCAGCTGTCAAAATGGCGTCAGTGACACCTGGTTGTACAAATCAGAAGAGCAGTTTTTGGTGGCAAGGTGCATACAGGCCTGCCTGGTACTTGAATGGTTTGGACTCTGATGTGGTGACTAATTAATGCCTGGGTTAATTACATTTGCCCATTCGCCCTGAGAGGGCACATGGAGGTGCTGACAGCTGCTCGCTGTCTAAAGGACTGCTGTGTGTCTCTTCAATCCACGCTGCTATTTTGCTCCCCTGCTTTCCCATCCTCTTCTGGCTAAATGGTCATCTGGGGCTGCTGCAGCCTCTGAAGCCGATACATCAGTTTAACATCCAAATTAAAATTATAGTCTTATGGTGCATGGATGAGCACACAAACACGTCGGTCTCTTTCTGTCTGTTAAGCCACAGTGAGTTTGCTGTCTGGCTGTGCTATTAAAAGGGATGATTACAGTGCGAAGGAAATGGGATGCATTTGCAGGAGAGGTAGAGGAGAGCCATCAGCAGGCCAGTAGGCCAGACTGCATTTTCTGCATGAGCAGACAGAATCTGTGTTAAAGAAAAGGGGCCCTCTCACAATCCCTCTGTGGCTGGAATGTGTAACACTTGATGGATTATTCATTAAATGTTTTATCTATCCATTTGCAGTGAGGACAAAGTGATTGAACACTACAAGAAACTGAAGGGGCTGACCAGAGGACAAGCCATTGTGCAGTAAGTTCAACACTACTTTATGTTTATGATTAAAAATGATTTGAGTTTGAGCAAATTAACTTGTGTGTCCCTCATGCACCACTGCCTCTGATGTCACAGTTCTCCACAGAACGTAAGGCCTTAAACCTCATGTGTCCGCACTGTGGTGGCTGTTGTTATAAGAGGTGGCTGTCACATGCCAGAATGTGTCATTAATTAGAGGAGGTGCTCTTTGAGCAGGCAGCCAGCCAGCCTTGTGAGGATGTCAGTCCTCCGCTGTGTTTTTCCTGGGACTGTAACTCAGAGCAACCCTGGGTCATTTAGGCTCGGATGATTTGTGCCCTTGAACTGATCAATGGACTCTCCCTCACAGCCCTGAAACAAATCGATCAGCTTGCCACTGCAAATGACTGTGGCTTCTCAATGACTGTAGCTTAAATCCCACTCTGTCTGTTGTACAACAGCCACCGGTTGACAGTGATGAAGTGTAAGTGGCAGAATTCCTGTTAACGTGTTGCTCTTTCTCTCAAGGTATCTGGCCCTGGTGGAGTCCCTGCCGACATATGGAGTCCATTATTACCCAGTGAAGGTAACAGTGGTGCCCTGAATCATACAGAAGCTTAACCTTTGAACAAGCTTCTGTCAGCTTCTGTCATCAATCTAACCTCTATTCACTTAATTTTATAACATTTACTTGATGCTGTTTAAATTCTGTGCTTTAGCGAAAGCAGCTGTACTGCATGTTTAAAAAAGGAATAAAAAATTGCTGCTTACATAACTCAGTCAAGGATCCAGTAAACCATTGTAGCAGTACATTTTTAGTTTAGCATGTTTCAAGTTTTAACTTTCCTTGATTTTACAGACGTTCACTAACTTTCTCTACCAAGGTGTCTGAGGAGATCAAACAGTGGCATTAAAATGACTCAGTCAGGCATGCAGAGATTATAAGGCCTTTACTGTATTTGATGTCTTCTTGTGTTGCTTTTGCTGCGACCTTAATGGGGTAATTGCTTTGGTTTTTTGTCAAACTCTCACCAATAAAGCTACCTCTAATGAGTAGTGGTGCTGTGTGTGTGTGTGTTTATGTGCAGGACAAGCAAGAAATACCATGGTGGCTAGGAGTTAGCTACAAAGGCATTGGCCAGTACGATTTGCAGGATAAACTGAAACCAAGAAAGGTAGGTTGAATTATTTTTACAGCTGCTCTAATTGCCTTATTAGTTTTCTTTTTTTCCCATTTAAAAAAACAGAACTCCTCCACTTGAAACACATTTTCTTGTTGTCTCGTTAATTTTTGTGTAGTTTTTGCTAATCCACATCAAGCATCTAAGCATACAGGATTTCATATGTTGTACAAATTGTAAAGCCCTCTGGGTCTAACTTAGGGTGTGGGCTTTATAAATAAACTTGACTTGGTTTTCCTACAAAGTGACTTTTAATACTCAAACAAGTAAAACGCTTTAATATTAAAGTTATTAGCTTTTGATTTCTTTTGGAAGTATGTACTATTTGGCACTATTGAAATACTTACATTTCACAGCTTTTATCTGCATGCCTCTTGTTAGCTGGTTAATGATCCATCCACACTGTAAATAGCCGTAATTAAGACCCTGGTTCCCATGCCAGTCAGGAGAAAGAGGAAGACAGATGGGGAAAATATTTTGGAGTATGTGTTGTGTGCAGTCAAGGCTGTAGGTGTAAGAGCAAATAGAGTACAATACTAGCAAAAGTGAAAGCAATGAATTGTCATAGGGATTATAAAACAGCTGAACTAGAAAAATTGGGAATTGTCTGTTATGATTATAAATCAAATCATTAGGGCAATGTTCTGTAAAGTACAACATGTATATTGTAAACAAATAGCCTTAACGTTGCTTTTACTGTTAACACATTCTGTCAGACACAAGTTCCTGGCTACTCCTCTGGCCTGTAGAGAGCCCGTCAGGTGCCTATTGTGGTGCATCTGTCAAAAAAGTTCTTTGAGTACAGAAATGTCCTGCTCCTCCCCCGTTTGAAAGGTGTTATTCACTAGTGTCCCAACCAAGCATTTCTCCCCTGCCTCTTTCATTAGACTAGTCATAGCTGTTGTTATATGGCAGCAAGCTGTTGACATAGCAGGGTGTGCTGTTACACTGGGCACAGCCTAAGTGTGTCTTTTTTTCCCGAAGCCTCCTGGTGAAAGGTGTTGTGGTTCTCTGTAGGAAGAAGCAGGCCTAGGGGACTGGGTTTGGCACTGGCGCTGTGTTGTTGGGTGGGTGTTTAGAGTTGGGGGACAGTAATGAGGGTGTTGGGGTGCTGTGAGGGTTTTAAACTAGTCTATGCCTTCTTCGACTCCTCCACACAAAGAAGGGACAGTCACATGAGAATGTCATTAGTTTCCTGTTGTGGAAGAACTGTTGCCTTTGTAAATGACCTTTTTTGTTGCTCTTACTGATAGTTGGACGTGTACGGATACATTCCTTTTGCCTGTATATCTGGAGAATATTGATAGTGCTTCCTGCCTTAGTTCACAGCCCCTGTATTCAACCCTGCCCATCCCTCCTTCCACTCTGTCCAGCCCCTCACAGCATGCTGCATTCATTATGGTAATCTGTGTGTGTGTGTGTGTCCTGGAGGGATTATTATCTGTGTAGGGGGGCTAGATGTAGAGGTGGTACTGGTGGGAGGTCAGCAGTTGTAATGTAATTTTTATTTAAATTTTTAACTTTCTAAAAATCATTTGAAGTAGCACATTTGCTTTCCTGTATGCATGCCAGTTTCATCACTTTTTATTGAAGAGCCTGCAACTCAAAGCTTACTCTTCCTGCTGTGTTAAAGAAAAGTGAAATAGTAAGTACCCTGTCACTTCATCTACAAGTTACATGTAGATAGTAGTATATAGGTACTGTTAAATGTAGATTGACATGGGAGAAAAAGAAGGGTCAAAAACAGTTTTAGGAGAAGGATCAGAAGTATAGTTGTACTGTGTATGATTGTGTATGTGAAAATAAACTTAATTGTGATTTTGAGACTATTCAATGTGAGTGTGATGTGTTTCCAGAGCATCAGATGGCAAGTTGAGACTTAATCCTTTCCTGAATTTAACCAGGAGTCCTTTCTGTCTCTCTTCCTCACTGTGTGTTCTCTCCCAGTGGGTAATGGGACACTCCTTAAGACCACATGCTGGTCCACATGGATGATGAGCCAGCGGAACCAAAATAATTCTTCAGTTTATTATGGGTGTTAGTGTCAGCTTGGGCGAAATAAGCACATGATCTAAAAGACCTGAAAAAATTAAGAAGTGTCTTAGTGAAAAGGAAGTTTAAAAATTTGATTTAACTGAACACTTCACGAACCAAAACAGGATCAAGTTCCTTCCGGCGGTTTCTCGTTGTCAGGTTTTCACAACTTTAAGCTTTGCGTCATGTTTGTGGAGACCTGCGGTGTTGCCAGCCAGCCTGAGCTGGTATTTGAAGTGTTATGTGAAGGGTGGGGCTGATCTTTTTCTGTACGGGTGTGTGAGCAGGCCCTTTGACACATTTTCATCCATATATGATTTTGCGGACTCGTGGCTGTCAGGGTCCTTGGGTTGTGGGTTTGAGCTGGATCTGAACAGCCTGATCCCATCTGAAACCACAGACATTTCTGGCTCACTTCCACCAGCCTGTAATGAGATGTTTGGCAAAAACAAGATAGATGTTGATACGAAAGATACGAACATGCAGAAATCCTGTGTGTTCACTCAAATCATAATCACTTAAACTGGTGTTTTTCCTGGAAAATGGTGACTTTTTTAATTTTGGAGTTCCACTTATGAGTCACTTACTGTGTCAACTTGCTTGTGTGCAGATTGATTTCTTGGACTGTTTTCTCTTCAAGAGTACTAGATGCAGTCTTGAGATTGAGGTGTGTCACATTCTTGAAATATTTAGGTCGTGGCTTCAGCAGCAGTCACCGGAGAGTCTTCTATTAGTTTCATTAATGTGTTCTCTCACACAGGTGTGGAGTTTCTCAAATAGGAGGAATGATCCGGTGAAAGTGCGTGTTTATTGTCCAGACCATTGTTATCTGTTGTTACAATGTAAATGATGCTAGTGATAGCGACTAGGGGGTGTCAATTGGTGTGGGGTCCCCTCTACAATGGGATGAGATTTTTGGAAGTGTCCTGCCGGCTGGTTCCCATTGTTCATTAAGCACCATGTTTTTCATTTCAGTGGCAGACTGGATGTAATTTAATAGATAAAAGTGCCGTATTTGCTGGTACAGCATGAGGAATGATCCACCATACGCACAATCGTAATATTGACGTTGAGTGTCTTTATGGATAATAGCTTTGGAGTAAAAAATCTACATGTAAGGTTCACACAAAATGGCCTGGCAGAGTGCACCCCTGCTATTAATGATTAGAGCATAGTAACAGATTCCTACCATGTTTGCTCTGGTGGGGGAGATGGTTATAGTATATTCTGCTACACAACAGTGCTTTGTATGGTGTTTACAGAGAACTTCCCAGATAGAGGTGGAGTATTCAGTGTCTGCGTAGGGTTGATCCCGTATCTGTGAGTGACGGAAATGGAGCAGAGATGTCTTCATACACGGAAAAACCTGGCCTAGCAAATACTTGTGTACAACCTGCCCATCTGGTCTGACTAAAAAGGAAGTGAGTTGTGTAGGAGAGAGAAAGAGAGAGAGAGAAGCACATAGTAGTACAAAGCCTCAGAGGCAGCGTGAGGTATCTGTGATGTCAGAGGTTTGGGGGGGGGGCGTTGTTAAAGGGGCATGGCCAGGCTCAGCTGAAACTCTTGCAACACCTATCTGGCTCCAGACAGACAAGAGAGAGTATTGTTCGAAGAAGCTCTAGCCCTGTGGGAAAGTCAAAGTATTTTACGCAAACCCAAGAGCGATCAGCAGGAATTTGATAAGCAAAAAAATACCATTCACGGTAAGCCTCGTTTTTGTGTCCACCTATTACCTGTTCAGCTGTTTTAAATAGTCAGTGGGTTTAAATAGTTTTTTTTTTTTCACTCCATGCTCCTTTTAATGTTCTCTGTAGTGTGGTGCTGTACCTGGTGACTGTGATCTAGATACGTGCACTATGTCACTGTGTGAACCACACTGCTGTAAAGGAAGATTTGTTCTGTGTTTTTATAGTTGGATTGCAAATGTGTTTGTCCAGTGGAAGTGAAGATGTGTCAGCTTATGGTGATTTCTTACCCTAGGTACAATTTCTCTCTCAGGCTAAAAGATGTATAATATATTTTTGTAGTCTGGAGTAATTTAGGTTGTTACCTTCTATCAGGTAAAACAGTGGTTATAAATGATCTCCCAAATTAAACTATTTTGTAAAGGTTGATTGCACAGAATACCTTCAGTCATCCATAGCTTGCCTTGCCATCTTTATCTACATCGAGGACCACAATGGAAATAAGTTTGTAACTTTCAGTTCTGATAAATGTATATTGTCAATGTGATGGCATCTATTTATGCATTTATTTGTGTTACAGTTCTATCAAATCAAATCAAAATCTCAACCCCTCTGCTGTGCAGTGTCTTTTCTGTTTATCAAAATGAGAGCAGGGAAGATTTGTTTAAAGGCAAGTGGTTCCAAATCTGTTCAGTGAGCCCAGTATCAGTGGAGCAAATGTTTCAATCTGACAGAGAAGTCCTGTCTCTGTTTTCAATCACAGCAGAATGAAACGAGAAGCTGGCCGGCCGCTTGGCACGGTTTTTCTCTCTGCAGTTGCAGCAGCATTATAATTGCTCCTGTGTTAGCTCGAACCTCCACCTGAATGGCCCGCTGAGCCCCATTAACAGCTTCAGCTGTTAAGTTGTTTCTGCTAATGTTGCAAGTTGACCTGAAAAGTTGTTTTAATACCAGCCTCCCTGTTGTGTTGTCTTTTGGCAAGATTGATCCCTCTCATATCAGAAGCTTTTTGGAGTAAATTGACGCCATTGTGTGTTTAACAGCATCTGATTATCAAATTACATTTCTGTATATGTACTGTAAATCCACATGATTTAATAGCCCTGTGTTGGCTTGTGTACAGTGATGTGTAATGTCTCTCTACCCCTACCCCCCTTTCTGATGAACTGGCTCTTTCTCTCTGCAGTTGTTTCAGTGGAAGCAGTTGGAGAATTTGTATTTCCGAGAGAAGAAATTTGCTGTCGAAGTGAACGACCCGCACAGGTCAGAAAAGGCAAACCACTTAATCTATCTTAACTGATCTTAATAGGTCCTTTCACGGTTTTTGTAGTGTTCCCATTTTAGCTGCTGCTCTCTTGCTTCAGACGTCCTTATCCTACACCTTACATGCTGTGAAGGGCATCTGCAGCCAGTGGCCCATTTAGGACACTGTGTTAATAGCTGTAACCTGTCTGTTAAAGGAGTGTTTTCCTTGTGTTCAAGGGCCACTTTATTATTCTAAGGTTGTCTGCTCCTCACACAGGCTTTAATGTGGCACTTCCAGCCTCTAAAGGTGTTATTAAATCCCACTGTCTGTTTCAAAATGTATTAGATGTTGCTGCTCTTCTCCTCTTCACTATCTTATTACACAAACACTCACACATTTAATTGGATAAAAAATTATAATAATTATTTTCTAATCTTCTAATCTGCCTTTTTAACCTACAGCCTCATTTATCTACCATCAACTGTTTAGTTGTAATATGCAGCAAGTACTGAGTGTTTGTATTATCTTTTACAGGAGAACAGTGACCAAGCGAACTTTCGGACAGTCTAGTCTGGTTATTCACACATGGTATGCCAGCCACTCTCTGATTAAAACCATCTGGGTGATGGCCATCAGTCAACACCAGTTCTACCTGGACAGGAAACAAAGCAAAGTAAGTGTCTGTTTTCTCTTCACTTCACTTTGTTCACATTTCCTGCCAACTCACATTAAGACAGAAACTCTTTAATACTTCTTCCACTGATGCTTGACCTGTGTAGAGAGCTTGCCTCAGGTCGAGTGACCCGCATATGCGACCTACCTACAGCTCAGGGTCAGGCCTGTGTGTGTGTGTGCGTGCAGAAAACCTGCTGAAACACAGGAGCTATTAAAGTCAAGGAGTTTATAACTGAATTAATTCATCATTGAGGTGAAAACACAGTCACATTTAAAGCAGGGTGTCCGCGGGGTCTTAAAAATCTTAAAAGGTAATAAATCAATTTTGCGATAATTAAGGCTATTTAAAAGTCTAAATCGCCATTTAACAAGGTATAAAATTTAGTAGTTATTTAGTAATTATTTTTGTCAATGTGAAAATCCTGTTTGTCCAAATAGTTTGTTTGCTAAAAGTTCAGCTGGATGTATTTATTTATATTGCATTTATATAAATATAGCCCAAAATACTCGACAGTGCTTTGTGACTGTGTCATTCATCTCTGTAACATTAGACGCGGGGATCTACCATGCAAACCGGAAAATAATTTACGAGTACAACCGACCCTAATCTCCCACCCTGCCAGACCCTCAATGCTAATCGTTCAAAAAATAATTGGAGTGGCAATCAAGAGTACCGGGATTAACCCAGTGGGCCGGTCGCTCTGTGGCTAGTTGAACAGCCCCGTTCCTCAAAAACAACAGCGAGCTGCACTGCCAGCAGCATAGACAGAAGACTATAGGGACAATTCAAGGAGCGTTTGGGTTTGGCTAACGTTAGGTGGCTATTTAGCTAAATCTTTGCCTTTTATTGAAACATGTTAAATTTTTCATAAACAGATACTTTCGTCACTGTCACTTTTTGTGAACAGATCAATCACAGCCTGGATGGAGCGGGATACAAAAAAAAAAGTTTGATGTGCTACAACAAACTTTATAAATGTTGAAATTGTTGATATTGATTATTGACGAGTTAGTAGCCTACTTAAAATTAAGGTTGGAGACTACCGTGTAGAGCATTTTTCTTGCACAAAGTTAATGAATAAAAAACAACCCCAAAATAAACAGCTTTAACTGTAATTAATATTATATTAGTGGTAAGTTATATACTATTATATGAAATTACATTGAATATAGTAACATAATGAATACATTACACAAACTAATTGTTTACAATTTTATATTTTTTATATTAACAATATACTTTTAATTGTTATAATATTATACTAATACAGTCATCTAGACTTTTTCCTGGTTCCAGGTTGTGTCTGTGCTACACCACCTACACTACTGTTATTCATCACTCAGTTTATTCTCTTCATCTTTGTTTCCTCCTGGCCTGTTTGAATTCTGTTGTATTGATCAAGTGGGTGATGAACGGTATCACACATATCATTGCAGGCAAGCTCACATTATCTAGTTTAAACCAACTAAAACACAAAATCACACTGTGTTTCACATGATTTGCTGTAATGTTGCACACATAAACATCATAGCCTATGTTAGACAAAGGATTTTCTCAGGAAATCTGACCAGACCAGAAAGTTGGTGAATGCCTAAATGTTTAGGTGGCGTTACAACCTGATGACATATAGGCAATAAATATATTATAAATATATGTAAATTCCTTTTAAAAACTCAAATGACCCTTTTATAGGTTTGTGGCTGACTTAATCAGTTACACCTCAAAGTGGCGTGGCAGTCTTAAAATATGTTGAAAAGGTCTTAAAAGGTATTGAATTTTACTTCAGGATTCCTGTATATACCCATTAAAGAGGTTGCTTCCCCCAAACAAAATTCACAAAATAGGGGGAAGACTAATTCATGCATGCACGTGTGTAGACTAAGCAGGGGTGATATTAAATGACAAAAGTTGATCTACAGGAGAAAACTTAGCTGAACGAAATATAGAACGCTTGAGATCCTTTATATTCCTTTATATTTTTTCAGTTGTCACCTGCTACCTGAATTTAGTGTTTCCCTTTATATAAATAAAAACATTTTCACCAAATATTGATGCAGAAAAGGCAGACATTTGTACCAAAAAACTATCCAGAAATTAAGGAAATTAAGTGTTTAATGCTGATTTTTTTTCATATAATTTAGCATTGAAGATTTCTTAAAAATAGTGTTTAAAATCGGGCTCTCATGAAGCCATTATCCTGGATCGTCTCGTGAGCTAAGTGTCCTAAGTGAATACTGACTGGAGTTTGTTCATCATGTGATGCGCACTGCCTGATCCGTGTCCCGTGCCTTGTGTAAATAGCTGGGCAAAGGGAATCCCCAGCCTCCTGGTTTAATGTAAATATATCCCATGCCAGTAAACCTTATGTTGGTAAAGGCATCGTTGGTTTAAAAAGACTAGAATAGCTCTTACCTATTGAACCTGAAGTAACAGGCAGTTGGGAAGCTGAAATTGAAAATGTGCAAGAGCTTGAAATTGCTTATTTATATAGTAGACTGATGTAGTTGTAGTAGTACCTATTATTATGCCTATTCTTGCCCTGTCTGTGGCTTAAGAGGAAACATATTCAAGTAAACTACAGTTTGCAATATAAAATGTGGCTTTTATGACCTCACCATTGTGAATAAATAAGAAAAGGCACAGGGTGTTCACAGGCGAGGTCCTTGTTTGAGCGTTAAAAGTTGTCCCAATGCCCTAATGATACACTCCATGTGTTTGTGTTTATGATGCATGTTTGCTGAGCATCAGGGCTGTTATGCGGTATGAGAGGTGTGTGATGGGCATTTCGTGGTGGAGATGGATGAGTGTGTGGCTGCACTCAAATGAGGTTATTCAGCCACTGTCTCCCTCAAAGGCAGATGGTGTGTCAGTGTTCATCCAGGAATAGAGCCCACGCTGATTGATGAGAGAGCAGTGCGCTTGGAGTACCAAGCATGCAAATGGAGCCACCACTATCGCAGTGCGCTATCATTAAAATGAAAAACTCACACACACCCCCTTCACTACTCTCTTCCTTCCTCCTTGTCCATGTTTCCTCCTCCTAACTGTCTCTTCCCTCCCCCACAGTCAAAAATGACCACAACCAGGAGTTCAGGAGACATCGCCATGGACCTCACAGAGATCTGCGCCCCGCGGATCAGTAAACTTTCCAGCATTGAGAGCAAAGACCAGCTTATCATGGCCAGCAACGGAAGCCTCATCTCAGCCGGTAAGCTAATGGCCTCTGTTCCACATCAGACTGATGAGCGATGATGTATTGCTATAATTTGTAGTTAATCAGATGTGTGCTTGTTCCAGGTTCTGCTGACTCTGAAGTCAGCGAGGAACAGAAGAAAGAAAAGATTGCAGAGTTGAAAAAGAAAGAAAAGGGTCTTCAAGAGACACTGTCAAAGAAACTTGAGGAACTGAAGAAGATCTGCATGAGAGAAGCTGTGAGTGTCCCTCTTATTCTATTGTTTTCCAATGATGTTTAAAACATCCACACTCCCAGCTGACTGTTGGTTGTTCCCATTTTCAGGTGCTTACGGGCAGATTGCCTAAAGAGTATCCCTTGGCCACAGGTGAGAAGGTTCCTCAGGTACGACGGCGTGTTGGGACAGCCTTCAAGCTGGATGACCTTTTCCCCTATGATGAGGTTAGTATAGCTACTGTTGTGTTGTGTTTTTGTTGATATATTTCTGTGATGTAATTTGGCATGTCACACGCTGTTGAAACACAGTTCTTACACCAATGTTTGTTTACCTAGAGAACATTTAAGCTCAGATGACTTTTTGAGGATTAAGAGTTTAACATGTGTTTTGAGGCAAACATTTGCTGTGAGCCAATTGGGAAAACATACTTTTAACTTGGAGATGTGTTTGTTTCTTTGTTCAGAGTTCTGCTGTTGACAGGATCTGTCTTTATTTTTGGGAAATTCCCCATTAACTGTGTCCATGTTGTGTGTTTCCCTGTAGGACCCACATCTGAGGAATCTGGAGAGCATGTTCGCCTTGCAGCAGAAGATCGTGGAAGCAGCCGTAAAGTTATCCAACGAGGGTGAACTCAGCAAGACGGTGAAGAAAAAGAGGAGAAACAACTGTCTGGATGCAATTAGGAAGCTGGAGGAGATCGAGAAGGAGATCAACACCTACAGGATCAAGAAAGGAAAGACACCCACTCAGAGGGCCTCACTGATCTTAGCAGGTAGATATCATAAACCTTTCAAGCTTTGCTAGCATATCAAAGCTTGAAATAAATTTTTAATGATCATCAATTTGGTTTGACTATGAAGTAGTAAGTGTTGACAAGTCTGACACCTTAATGTAATAAAGTATATAAAATAAAGTTTCTGATTCTGAAAAATAGAATATCAGAGGTGTTTCTGAGGATTTCTCTCTTCTGTTCAGATGATGTCAACCCTTCAGACCTCAGCTCTCTATCTGACAGCCTCACTCTGGATGATGGTAAGTGCCCGGGCATAGCCACGCTAAGTGTTTACTCCCCCCTCCCCCTTATACTACATTTTAGATCAATTTTAACCAATCACTTTCATCTCACAGATGATGAGCTTGCTACCCAGAGGCAGCGGTCCAGATCGGTTCAGTATTCCCCGAGACCACACCATGCAGAAACTCTGGACATCCACTACAGCCAAGACAGACATGCCTCTGCCAATGACCAGCATGCAGACTGCAGGTATAAAACTAGCACTTACACCCATGGACATATCAGAATTTTTAATTTCCACTGTGTGGTTGTTTGTTTTAGAGACCCAAAGCATGGAGCTAGTACAGACCTGTAAAGTAGACCCAGAGCTACATTCCTGCCAGTTACCTCCTCCCTCCTTCTCCTGCCTCTCCAACAATCTCCCTCTTATCAGCCCAACGCACCGGCTTTAAAAATAGATGGAAAAGAACATGTCGCTGCCTGTGAAGGAGCAGACAACAATTCCAAGCTGAGAAGAAAAGGGAAACAGGAAAGTGGCTCTGGGAACTTGGTTTATATGGCAGCTACTTCATGACTGTTTACAAAATGGTATGGGTGATGTGTTGCCCTCAGCGTCAGAGGTTGAAGCTCATTTAAAACAGTCATAATGCTTGCTGTTGCATGAAAAGAAAGATCAATGGACTATGTAATAGCAGTCATTCAGGTGTAAGTGATGACTAAAATACTGCATTCAAGCAAACCCAAGGTGTTTTCTTTCCTCCTTCAGTTTTCAGAATAAGGGAAGAGAGTGTAGAGGTGTTTATCTCAAAGAGTCGAACGCCCTGAAAACATTGTTGTTATCTGTGTTCCAGAATAAATTATGATGTCCAGGAATCACTACATCCCTACAGTCACCGTGATGCCTTATCAAGCCACAGAAGCCCGTATAAACCGGCTTCCAGACAGCCACATGATGCCCGCAGCATGCCCCCTACCCCCCTCCTCACACGCAACGCTTACAGCAGCACCCAGCTCAGGTGAGGCCCGACCCACCTGTGGTTTTTTTTTTTCTTGAATATCTGCTTCATGTGTGTTTTGGTGTATATGTGAGTCAAAACACAGCTATTTTATTAAGTGCTTTTAATTTGTAGATCAGAGGATGCACCACAACATTTCCGCCAGCGTAGCGGTAGTCTGGAGTCCCAGTCTCAGTTCCAGACGGAAACCGAACCCCCTGTGCCAACGCTCACCTACTCCACAGCCCGGCGCAGCAACAGCACTGAGGTCCTCGATGATGGCTCCTCCTATACAAGCCAGTCCAGCGTAGAGTACAGTGTCCCCGGTAACCCCACCCACAGACGCAGAGCTCGCGGCCGCCACAGAAAAGACATGTATGCCAACACGGGCAGCATGCCCAACCTGGCTCAGCCAGACACCCGCTGCTACGCCTACCAGCCTCGGGCCAGACCCACCACGACAGCCTACTATGTGACGGGCTATCCAAGCTACGCAGAACCAGAGTCTTACTCCAATGGACTCTACATGTACGACAGTGAGATGGAAGGACACTATAACGTCAATCCTTCCTACCACCCAACCCCAACAGCTTATCATAGCCACGATATGCACAGTCACTACAGTAATGACGAGATAGATGGCATGTCACAGAACCTGTACGCCACGCTGCGGCCATCCAGGAACCGCCCGGTGCCCCGCAGCAACGAGCAGGTCAGTAGGAACATCCAGAAGGCTTTGGTGTCTGAACACTTGAGAGGCTGGTACCAACGCAACGCTGCACACAAACAGACAGCATACAGCTTTGACAGAGGCTCCCAGCAGAGCGTGGGCTATCAGACCATGCCTGCACCCTACAGCCACAACAACAGAAACACCTCCTACTCCACAGGTCAGATCAATGCACCATATATTACAGTGTCTAGTGCATTATGTTGTTGACCCTGGTTTCACATGTAGGTGGGTCATTTGCTGACTTGTACCATTTTTTTCTCCAGTGTCCTCCAGTGGAAACTGGCACAGCCACATGAGTGGTGGTGGTGGTATGTCAGAATACGACATGCCCGTGCATGCGCCGCAGTCCTACTCTTACAGCACAGCCCCCTACAGCCACTCCGCCCACAACAGGTGAGGAAAAAAATGTTGCCTCAACTCAGCTCCTTATCCAATAAGCCACTCCCTGATCCTCCTTATCTCCAGAGATACTAAAAGTGCTAGTGTTTAATTACCTAGAATGGATGACTACAGAGAATATTGCTATTTGGTTTTGTTATCTCATGCACACAAGAATACTGTGGACCGATGAGTAGCCAATGTTACCTTTTCTTCAACTTTACCCTTAAGTTTGGGAATCAGAAAACATCCATCTGCTTAGCATTGTAAGCTTGGTTCAGGCGTAGGATTATGGGATCTGTGCAGCCAGCAGTCAGTTCTTCCTCAGAGCTTAACACTGGTTCTGCTCTCCTCCTTAACTGTCCACTGGCCCCTGCTTTCTTATAGATATGGCACCTCCCAGCTCTTTAAGGGCTCCTGGCACAGCCCTGATGGCCAGAGGCGCTGTGCCCTTTTCCCTGCTAGTTCTTCCTCCTCTACCTCCTCCCTGCCCTCCTCTTTTCCCTCCTCCTCCCCTGGCTGTCGGGTCAGGCAGGTGACCTCCAACCATGTGCAGCCACAATCCTCCAGAGGGCACAAGCTCAGTAAGGTGTCCTTTGTGAAAGGTAGTTAATAGTAAGTAAACAGCAACAGCCAGAGCCTGTGCGTTTGCTTTCTTCAATTTGTCCGCAGCCTCCGACTCCATAGTCTGCTTGTTGATGTTTTGAAGTGAACTTTGCATTTTTGAGCTGTTTGACTGATCCTTCATTGTCATGTATGATATGGTAACTGCATGGCTTTAAAAAAACATGCCTGCCCTTCTTGCTCTTACAGTCGGCATATTGTCATCCAGTGGTCACATTTTTCTGCAGTGTGCCTTTGCCGTTCAGATTTTTTATATATATTTTTTGGTTTCTTTTCCTCTGACGTTTGCCTTCCTCTTGGCCCATGCAGAGACTCCCTGCCCATGTGCTTCCATTCACCCTTGATCTTTGCCCCCTCTCATGCACAGATGTCCCCCAGAGTTTGAGTGGCGGAGCTGTGATAGGATGGCGTGCCCTGCGGGGCCTTTAGAGAGGTGTGGTGCTGTTGCCTATGCTACTGACCTGGAAAATTAACCCCCTCCCCCCAATAATTAAAGTCACAGCACAGAAGAAAGGGTGAGAGACAAGAATGTAAAACTACCCACATGGTTATCATGGTGATGGTGTCTGTTTTTATATGTGGCAGGGACGGACAGAAAGTTCCAAATCATCTCATACCACACTTGCTGATTTTCTCTGGGTGTCTCATGGTGGTGGGAGAGCACTTGTGTGGCAGAGGAAAAAATGTGACCCCTGAATATTGTTGCATTTAAAGGCTATGTGTGTGTATGTCTGTGTGCATCTGCTGTTTTGTTGGGTGAAAATGTTTGACCCTGGGTTTACCCTTGTCTGAAACTGATATTACCATTATCATGGGTGGAACATATGAAGTAAATTAGTTAGGGTTGGGTCTCAATTTTAATTCTACTTATCAAATCCGGTTCTTATCAAATCTCGGTTCTGATTCCCAACCCCTTCACCACAAATCTGGTCACCACTCGATGACATTTATCCACTTCCTCCTTGCTCATTTTCCCCTTCATGGCTAGTGAAAGTTACTGTACCTTGTCCGTGGCCGCTGGCATAACACCGGGTGCTTTCTGATCAGATGACGTCGTGCTGTTGCGGTAGGCAACATAAGTTTCGTTTTACGGTGGACGGACTGTAACATTGCAGAGTTGTTGTTTTCTTGTAGCTTGAAATAATCCCACACTTTAGACACTTTCTTCTTCGTTCCTTGCTATTTTCTCTCTCTTCCTCCACTTTGCAAACAGCGCCATCATAATCACGTTGTGTTCACAGCGTAAGCGCGATGTGCCACAGTAATAAATGTCCGTGCAAAACACTGTGCTATATAGTTATATGGATTAAACGAAGCGTCGATGCAAAGAATTTTCGTTGACGCATTTTTGTAATTGAATTAACTGATGAATCGTTTCATCCCTATTCCTTAGCGTCAGTGGTTGTTAGTGGTAGCTGTAAGGCGTCATTGTAGCCAGGAGAGCGCAACACACTGAACATTTTGGACGCGCTTCCTCCCTTGAATGAAATATGCTTACTGCAGGTGTTGCATTTTGCTGTGTTGAAGTACTCTCTTCTCACATACTTTGTTGACATGCTGTGTTAACAAATAATGTGACGTTATGTCTGCGAAGCAGGTTCTGACTGAAATATGCAAAAAGTTAGCAACCGATAAGAATTGAAATGCACACAAATTTGGTAACAGTTCCAACTTTGAACCGATTTTCGACATGCCCAACCCTAAACGTAGTTCATGAATATTTTTTATATTCCTTCGTGGCACTACAAAGCTGAAATATGACAGGATGATTTTGACAGCCCAGGGTTAATTCATTCTAAAGTCCTTGTTAACCAGTCATAAGCTACACTCAGTTTGCCACCTGTCTAATGTGTTTTATTCTTGTGTGTTTATTACAGATCATACATAGATGTCAGTGAAATGGACCCAAACATCAATAACCAAATGCACACTAACCCGGAGCCAGAAGACCAGATTTACTGGCACGAAGATTCAAAACCGGGAACAATAGTGTAGCTGCCTATCTGACATCGTGCTGTATTAACATTTTACCATGACAAATTGTCATTGTGCCTTAGACTGCACTTACCTGTTTTTCTGTTCAAGTGGATCCAAAGAATGAAGAAACTTAACTTCTGTGGAATTCAGTGTGTAAAGAAAATGAATGCAATTGCCAAACTGATCACATCCTTGTGTTTAACAATAACAAAACCCCACAGGAGCATCTACATGTCTGGATTGCGAGTGTTTGTGGTGATGGCACTTGTGCACTGAAACTATACCAGGACCTGCTGTGCACTGCGTGGTATAGCCAAAGTAAAAACGTAGAATAAACTTCAAGTGTTTCTCTGTAGAGATGCCGGCTTCACAAACAAAAGGACCAGGACTGTCTCTGTAAGAGGATACTGAGCCGCAATGAACAATGAGAATGACTCATCCTGATCTGCCACTTACACAAATGTGTGAACCCTGTAACCATGAAGGACTGGACAAGCATTAATAATGACATTATTAAAATGAAGGATTGAACTCATTAAAAATGAGTCAAAAAGATGGCTACTTCCTGGAAGATTTTGCAGTCACCAGATCCAGATTTATCGTAGCGTTGCTTGTAGCTACCACCGCGCTTCCTTGTAGTCTTGTTTGTCATTTAAAAAGTTTTCCGTTTTTCTCAGTCAGTACTTACAATATAGTCGAGTCAAGTGGAATGCTTATGAATGGTATTACCCAAAGTCACCAACTTTGATATCACTGCCACATCTGATCAGTCACTGCAGGAAGACAACAAATTATTTTTAACATGGTTATTTCATCCATGCTGGAAATCATGGACTGGTGCTCCCAATTTCTCTAAAGAGAATGATGCTGTGTGTACATGTTGGTATTGTAAATACACTGGTTCTGTCTTTTTGTTTTTTAGAGCATTTTTATGTATTTGAAAAGCATGTAATATATAGTAAACAATTGTTGTTAAGCTGGTTCTTAGTAATTTGTATAATTGCATTTGTTTGAATAAAAAAAACAGCATTTGAATCAGCTGTTTTGCTTGGAGTTCATATTTATTAATGTGAACAGTGCACAGACTTCTCAGGGAAATGTAATCAAATTCAGGGTGCAGGAAATTCAAATCCATTAATTTAGGTAATTGGCAGTCTGTTGAGACAGATCAATCGATGAAATGGAGTTTGAAGAAAGTACAATGATTGTCACCGCTTAGAGGAAAATTACTAAACCTAACCTAAAGTCTGTGAACAGGCTTTGTCACAGTGGCTTAGGATGGTGGTCTTTACATATAAATGGTTTGGAAACTGCTTATCTGGGGTGCATTCAAGGAGCCAAACACTACATTCTGACTACATCCCTTCTTTTGTGAGCTTGTAAGAATGAATGCAGAACTGCAATCAGTCATGATGAGAGCCAATTATCAATAAATGATCTGTTTTTAGAAATCTTCTCCTGCTGCAGAGCTCTGCTGTGTATGTTCCCACCGCCTTGCTGTGTTGCCAGCCTGGTTTTCTGTGTCCTTAAGCCATAAACCAACCAAACCAGTCTTTAAAACCTGTCACACCCATTATAAGCTATAACCCGTTCTTCTTCCTCCCTGTGAACGACAAGCTAGTGTTTATAGCACCAAACCCTCCCTTTAGGCATCCATGTAATATAAGTCTGCTGTACACATGTATTGTGCCCCCGTAGATTATGCTGTAACCCTTCACCTCCTTTCCCTCCCTTTCTTCCCCAGCTGGCCCACATTTTCTACCACTGGTAACTTCTTTACAAAGGCTGCAGTTGAGCAGCTTTACTTGCTCACCGTATCGCTGTGTTATGCTTCTTGAGCGAGCTCAGGGGAGGTCTCAGACTCTCTTCCAGCTCCTCTGCTATACCCGAGGCAGTGAGAGAGGGGGAGTGCTTCGTATCCAGCTGTCTCTCTCTGTCTCTGCTGCTTCACACCAGCTGCAGCCAGACATCAGGCGAGGCTGTTCCAGCTGACACTCGACTACACAAACAATGGGCTCTTATACACTACAGATACAACTCTAATATGGAGAACAGATTAGGGCATGGTATCGAACCGTGATCCTTTTTTGGCATGACCAAAATGGGCCCGTAACACTGTATCAAAAACTGTCAAGCACTGAAAGTTGACATCAAATGTCTGGTCACATTCGTAGTCTCATTGAAATATTCTTTGAACAAAGAGTTTCCCATTTTAAAAGCTGCCCTAATCAATATTTTCATTGTAACAATGGATTCAATGACTGTGTAATGTAAAAGGTTAAACCCACAGAGGATTGTCGCCTGACTCTGTTCCCTCAGCTCTACAGAGCGTTTTAGCATCTTTCAGCTCAATGTTTTGGTTTTATGGCCCGCAACTTTACTGTTTTGGTTTCGCCTCATCGCCCCTGTTTGTTTCAGTAGCAGGCTGCTGTTATGGTCAAAAAGGCTCTAATAAACTGACTGCCCAGCACCAAACACAAGACAGAGTTAGCAGCAACCTAGTAAACATAGTGTAGCATTTAGCTGCTAAAGAGCGAGAAATTTCATCAGGCGGACAATAATCCGCCTCCAGACTCCAAATGAACTCTGATGTTGCTTTGTGTCTGCTAGATGTGTAAATAGACAACTGTTTGCTAACAAGTAAGCCACATTAACTCTACAAGATCATACAATGGATTTAAATGATGTTCCATTACCCCAAAGTAGCAAAAAAATCACCTAATGCTGCTTTCAAGTTATGCCAATTTTAAGTATCCTTTTGGTATCAGTACTAAAATTAGGCAGTAAATCGCTACTAATATGGAACATTTTTAAACAATATCCACAGTGCAGATAGCTGTGAACAGCAAAACCCCTTTACATGACTCAGCCAAGCTCAGATTAAAGTGAATATAAATCATGTTATGCCGTTGCTTTCCCAGGATCAGCACATTCACCTTGATCCAGGGAGTAATGGCTCTGACAAGTGATGAAGAGGGAATAGTTGGATTAGCTGAGCGGCCACATCCACTCAAGGCTCGTTCATGGGGCTAACATGGATGACCTTCCATCAAGGAGGCAGTAAAAGCAGTGTGGGTGCACGGGAAGGTTGAAGACCCCACATCAGAATACAGCAGACTGCAAAGGTCATAGCAGGCCGTCATTAATGTGTCACATGATCGGCTGTAGTGTAGGTCCAAGCAGCCGGATCTGCTGAATGGCAGGCTGTTTGAGTTATGAGGCTAGCTAACCAGCTTAGTACAGCCAAAAGCCAAATCCTCTCAGGCAAGCTGAGGGATGGAGGCGTCAACCCAAAGGCAGCGCGCTGTCAAAGTGTGCCTGAATGAACAATATCAAGATTACTGCCTGTCCCACGCCTTCGTGTTGTGGAAACTAAACAGGAGGCAGATGTTGAAAGTCAAAGCCTCCTGCACAGGGACAAGAGCTGTTACTCAGCAGCAGGTACAAAAACAGTACACAGGTTTGTTTTTGTATCACTGACTTCTGTTGCCCCACTGAAGACTACCTTTGGAAGCAATTACTGTTGTTTCAAAATAAGAAGTTAGCTGAGTGTTGTCGGTTCATTCAAAAACACCTAGAAAGGATGACCGTTGTTTTGTACACTCACTGGGCTTCCTCTCCTGGATTACACGTCTGTTGAGGAGAAAACACCAAAGACGCACACCTGTTGGGTGCGCAGCAGCACACACGTGTTGGTAGGATTCTTAACAGCAGCTGCAGCTGCAGGGACAAGGGCCTTCACTGTGCGCTTGAGACATGACTTTACTTGAGTTTATTGCCACCAGTGCTTGCGTTCACTCATCCAAGTTGCACAATATGGATGGAGATGAAGTACTGCAGGAAAGGATATAAATTGCTACAGAGGGGAAAGCCTTGCAGCTCAAGTCAAAGTAGGGGTGAACACCTGAGCGTGACAAGGTCATCAGAAGGGTTCATTCAAGTACCATGCATTCCTTTCAGGGAAAGATGCCACATGAAATGTATTTTTGTCATTTTTAAAGCACATGACGACATTTTGTTTTAAAAGTTCTCTGAAGTGATTACTCTTTATAACACCAATCATTCTTATCTCCATGTTTCCCCCAATCCATAAAAGCTGCCATTCAAAGCCAAATAACAGAGCATTATTTCCCAGATGGATTCTCGTTATCTGCAGTCAATTTCAAATGGAATCCAATAAAAAAAAATAAAAAAAACAGCTGACGCAGCAGCTAACTCGAGTTTGGAGGTGAATAACTGCAGACAGATCCACTCTGTCACTGTGCAGCGCTCAACTCTCTGCACTATAATCTACTGCAGCCCATTGATTAGCATTTGGGTAAGTGGAGAGGAAAGCAAGGTTGGCTAATCAATCACCCAGGGGACATTGTCAAGATTAAACAGTCCGAGGGGCAGGAGGAATACTGATGGGCATGGGTTAAGACCTCACCCTCCTTTGAAGTCTTCGTTTTAAATATTGACACAGTGGTCGGACTTTTGGATTCACAGACACATTTATTTCATAGCTCAAGACAAAGCAGCGCTTTCTCTTTTGTCTGGCTCTTTTTATTTGCATGACCATAAGGTTGGTTGGTTTCCATTCAAATGCACACATAACATTTTTTGAGGAGACATTCAGAAACTTGCAACAATCCTGTTTTTAGAATAGCTTGGCTGTTATGTATGTTGGGTTTTCACAGTTTATTCTCTGTTACAAAACAACACTTTGCACTGCTTTCACAGTTTTTGGTTGAGCGTAAACTGGCAGGACTGACTGTCGTTTCTGAGACTGATCAAACGCAGATTTCCTACCTAGGAAAGAGTCTTCTTCTGTGCTGCACTTGAACATTGCAAACATTGCATAGCAGAGATGTGAGGCAGCACTGAGATGCCCCTATCACTCTAAAAGTGCCCTGGCAAGTTCAGGGTGGAGTGACATATACACTGAGGTTAAGGTAAAGCCCTTGAGATTATAAGCTTTCTTTTAAAACACACTGCATGTGAAACATACTTTCAGAGGTTTAGACGGAGATTCAGAATTTCAGGCTCTTTGGCCCCCCAAAAAAAAGAACATGTGTGCACGTGTGTGCGCTTCTTTCCAGGGCCAATTATTCCTTCAGTTTTCCCTCCAGAAAGCTCTGGATCTTTTGAAAGTTCTCCTCTTGCTGACCCAGGGCTTCCAGCAAAATGCTCATGAGTGACCTCTTCAGTCCCGCTCCTTCGATCTTGTACTCCAGTTTATTCTTCATGTTGCGGAGGCGAAATGAAGCGTGTGCAAATATCACTGAAAAGCAGATGGGCAAGTGACTGTTACTGTTTTAAATGTTTGGCAAAAACAAACCTATAAACTTTTGTTCAAGTCAAAGTATAATAACATCAGTCCTAATGGATCTGAGAGGGTTCAGTCCAAAACATGTTTCATTGATTTTTGAAAGAACTGTTAGCTAAGGTTAATTTCACAATACTTTAAATGCAGAAATCATTACACTACACACATATCTATCAGTATTACATATCTTATTATTACAGTAGTCTGTGTACCAGAAATGATGTTGCAGATCCAAATTCTCTTCACGGTGCCATAAATGTCATTGTGCAACATTATCATCTTGAACTTACAAGCCAGAGGTAGAGTGATTGCAGACATGAACACCATGACGCTTCCCAGCATGGAGATCACGAGGTAGCTGGCCACCATGACCGCGATCACAAACGCCGTGGGATTCTGCCTCTTGAAGTTGTTGATGACGGCGCCGTTTTCTCCGGCCCACACTGCACCCAGGAAGATGGCCGACACCACGGCCATGGCTGTGAACATCCCCACAGGGTTCAGGAACCTGCAGGGCAGCGACACAAGACGTGGGAACAGAGGGGTCAGTCAAACTGCTCTGATGCCGCTGGAGCACATGCAGGGGCCTAGTGCGTGGTCACTGGCTCCACCAAGTGGTTAGTTGTTGTTTGTACAACAAAATGACCCCTATTAGTATCACCAGCTGTTTTATGAAAGAAAATAGGATAGACATAGGACCACAGATGTTAATAACATTATGTACATTTGAAATTATTTGTTTTATCCATTATTTGGACGCATTTTTAAGAAATAACAACACTAATTTTGAGAATACCTCACACAAACGAAACAAAAAAGTTTGCAAAATGTTCATGCTCAAGTTGGTTCGTGTTCATTAACGTATATAAAAGGGAAAAAAACAACGGTTACTCTGTAGGTTATTCAGAAATCAGTCTGTATCTATTGTGATTATCGATTAATCGTTTCAAAACTTCAATCTCTTGTTCCGTCTTGTCCAACGTACTGTAAGGATTTGCTGCTTTTGTTAGTGATATGTGACAAGTTAAAACAAGGAAGTTAAAGATGCCACCTCAGGCTGTGGGCAATTTTTCACAACTTTCTGACAGTTTATAAACCAAATGATTACGTTAATTGCGAAAACATAGGGAAGATGCGGCCCTAAAAAACAACAACAACAAAAATCAATAATTTAGAGCATAGAAAAGCTTTGTGTGACAAGTCCAGCCTTGGAATGACTACAGTGATGTCCTCAATGAGTGTGACCAAGGGCCTGTCTCACAAAACACGTTCAACTTAACTCAGTTTCAGTTTGAGGTATTTGGCTTTACACACACTGGTGATCTTTTATAACAGGTCTCACAAAGCTGAGAAGAGTTTAAAGAAAACAAGGCTCGATGAAGGTGTATGTGATCAAAATGTAGCATGAAAAAAGATACAATGTGCTTTGAAGGTAAAGGGCTAAATAGGAAACAGTGTACCTTTTATGTATTTGGCAGTAGAATTACTGAGTTTATATAAAAAAAAAAATATTCAAAGGTTGCCTCATATTAGAACCTGGCAAATAGCAGATTCGGAGGTTGTTCCTGATGTTGATATTTGAGAGTTTCAAAAATGCAATAACAATATACTGACTAATATATAAAACATTTTATTAAATAAACACATAATATGCATGAACATTTGTGTTGGTAATGATCCATTAACTTCTATTTTTAAGGACGGCGACCAAGATATGCACTGAGCCAGACACAAAAGGAACAGTAAGAACCGGCCAACTGTTAAAAGTCATACTGTCGTACTGTTAACATGTTCAGTGTTTCAGTCTGATGGAACCTCTCACGTCGTCTAATGTAACAAAGTTGTGCAACTGTCGCTTCTTCAATGAATTTCTCACCTTCCATGCTCTACTTCTACACCTCACAGCTGCACTTCTGACTTTCTCTGCCTCTGGCACATGCAGCAGGTGACTAACCTGGTGTGTTGCTTTGTTTGTGACTTCATACTGATTATAGAGTTCTGTTCTGGCCCTCTGCGTATTACACACACATTGTGCCAACACAGCAATGATTCAACGACTGACAAACACCTTTAGACTATTTTGAGCAGCAGGTGATACTCAGTGCCTGCAGCTGGGATAACCAGTCTGAAAGTATGCTTTCTATGTAATCATTGTGTTAAGAAGAACTGAAAGAGACCCGGAATCATTCTAGGTTCAGTAGAGCTGCAACGATTAGTCGATTGATCCATTATCTGTCCACTATTAAATTAACTGCCAACTATTTTAATAATCGATCGCTTTGAGTCCTTTTTTAAAGAAAATTTCTTGATTTCAGCAAATGTGTGTTCAGCAAACACTCGAATGGGACTGTTTCCTGGTTTCTTTGCTACTCTATAACAGTTAAGTGAATATATGTGGGTTGTGGACAAAAATATGATAATATTGCTGTGTTACATGGGTAATGATAAGCCTATGACCATGATGGCTGTCTAAGTATGGACTTTGTGTGGATTGATGAAAATGTACCATAACAAAATGAGCTTCCTCACCCACTTCATGGTAAAGTGTTGAACACAGAGGCTACTTTTTTTTGAGATTATACACACTTTTGGCAATGCAAATGAGGTCTATGCAAAAAGCACATGGATTTAACTGTTTCGAAAGAGGCTAAAAATAACATCACGTGGTTTAATGAAAAAAGTCAACTGAATGTGTCAGCCTTGTTGGTTTAAGGTCATACCTGAGGAGGAACTCATTGACAAATCAACCAATATGGGATTATCTCCCTAATCAGGGGTACAGAGGCAGCTGATTAAGCTGCTGTTTTGTCACAACTGTGCTATCTGCAGGGCAACAGCTGACTAGGCCTTCATGGCAACAATGTCATCATACTGCTCAGTGGACAGACCATGACAGGGCATCACTATTTTTAGTAAGCTGGGCTTTAGTTGAAACAAAGTGCCAACTAAAGCCAAGATATTCCCGAGATGAGAGATTTAACCTCTTGTTCCCTGGTCTACTTGTATAGAGTTCAGCTCAGTATGAGCTTGTATCTTAGGGCAATTGTCTGTTTACAACAGGGCACAAGAGTAGCCTACATCATGGGGCCTCGTGTCATCATATTTACTTTTTTTTTTTAGACTTATATGTAAATATCCAATGAAAGGGTCTCAGATTTTATATTGCTACGTGAGGGGCACAAACTGGATAAAAATGTGTTGACTTTGGTTTCCATGAGACATGATAGCTGGCACAATATCTTGTTATTCTTTTAGGACTCCTTCCAACTCGTCACCACATAAGCAGTTACATCCTGTCTGTACGGTAACCTTACGCTCATTTTAAATCCCTTTTTAAGTAGTCTACATCCCAGTTGACACAAACAGGGCAACGGTGACGAAAACTAAAAGTTAACGTTACACCAAGCAAGGTGACGAACAGCTTGAAAAGTAACGTTACTGTATTTATGTCCTAAGTTACCAAATGTAACTTACCCGACAATGAGGAAAACAACGATGGCCAAAGCAAAATAATTTGTCTGATAATAAAGCAGGTTGCTGACAACTCTGTTGTTCCATTTCGCCAGATCTTTCACATCTGGTTTAGCGAATCTCTCCGAGCCGGGGAAGAAGTCGTCCCACGGTCTGAACGGTGCCAGCTCTATTTTAGCCATTTGCCTCCAGCTCACCTCACTAATCTGTCCTGCCACCACAGAGAGAGCCGGAAAACCACGAACTACTGTCTCGCGAGAAGCCGCGCTCTTAAACCCCGCCTCGTGAGCCTGACGACATCTCACACTATTGGTCAGTAACCGCACGTTATCGAAACACTTCCTGCAACGCTTCTTGACAGAGAAGGAGATCATGAAGTGACAGCTACGTTAAATGTCCATAAAGTCTTCTGTTTCGGGTTGCAGGTCAGTTATATCTCTGTTATATTTGCAATGTTTTGGTAAGTCGATGTTGCTCAAGCGCGGGCAATGCAGAACAAGTGCACGCGGGCGGCTAAAACACGCAAGCATGATTACAGTGAAATGTAAAGTTAGCTAGCCCGGTTAAAGCTCACACGCGGACGAACAGAAGCACATTACCACGTTTTTGTTGTTTGTACAGATGTGGAGCAGAATACTGAGTCCTCGACTGATTTGTAGAACAGGTTTCTATCGGAGGAGTCTCTTCACAATGAAGCTGAAGACCAGTGAGTTCCAGGCTCTGTTCAATGACGGACTTACTGGACTAGCAGGTGAGACGCAGCTGTGGCCAGACACCTGCCGGGTGTCCTCACTTACATCTCCTGCTTATCTTGCCTTGTACGCACATCGGTCAGTAAAGGAAGTTAGCGGGAGGTGTTTTTAGAAATGAGAGAGCAATCGAAGGACTTTGAGAGAAAGCAGATAAAATGGATGTGCCGCTTGACCTGATTTTTCACATCTTACTTTGATTATTTAAAATAAAACATATTGCGAACATGTTTGAGATCTTTTAGAAACACTGTTCTCGCTGTCACGCTGACATGTTTATTTTTTTAACTGTAAAATGTCCCACTCACTACAAATCTTGAATTACCTCAAAAATCCAGTATTGGTCAGTCTCAATGAAATCCATGTCCCCAAATCTACAGGCATACCCTAAAGCTGTTTAGTCCTTTATAGTTCTGAAAAAGAGAATTCCCTTGTGAATATTGTGTTTGTTTAGGTGGAGCTCTACCAACTTGCTATTTTGAGCTGTTAAAGAGCCAGAGACTTAAAGGGGTACTCCCCTTTTTAGGTTTGCACATAAAGTTGGGGTACTGGGACAGAGGCAGATTAAAAATTAACAGTCAAAATTGATGCAACAGAGGCAAAAAGATTCCACTACATTTCCCATAATGGAAAAAATTTAATCAGTTTTCAGACCATCTTTGTCAGGTAAATATTTATTTCACACTCTACACCTTCAGTCTGAAATGCAGGCTTTACCACATGTTTAACCCAAGCCAAGATAACCGTCATCGGCGATCATTTCCCAGTGTTGACAAAGCTCCTTCAGAGCCACATAAAACATTTACAGGCTCAGTAATTGCCATGACTAATAAACTGGTCTCCATTTGATAAATTGGTGGATGCCTCCACAAGCCTGGATGATATTTGTCTTTTAAAGATGTTTGCCTTTATTTTGAGAGACATGACCGTGGATAGTGGTAGGAAACGGGAGGGGGATAGTAGGCGACACGCAGCAACGGGCCACAGGCTGAACTTGAGACCCTGGCCACTGCAGTGAGGACTCAGGCCCCATCCACACTACTCCTTTTTTGTTTTATAACGGAAAAGTTTGAAAACACTGCTGACCCCGTTTTTAGTTTTAAAACTCCGGGTAGCATTTTAGCGGACGGGTAAAAATGGAGGACTTTAGAAACGATGACGCAGACGCTCACGCTTGGCTCTCTGATTGGGTCTTATAAGTCATGCGAAGCAGAAACACGGTGCTACTGACAGAGTTTTTGACAGGGTATTTTTATTAAAATATTATGTACTGTGCAAATAACACTTACACTTGTTCTGTGCATGTGGCCGTTTACTTTGCGACGACTCCCAATCTGTTTCCGTTAGTTTTCTCTTTTCCGCAGTCGCTTTAAACCCCCGTGTTATATTCAGTAACAGTCCCAGCTCGTTATTGGTCCATGCAAAAAGAAATCTGGTGTAATTCTTCGTCTGCATTACTTTATTCTTGCGCCCCCAAAAAACTCAGTTTTTGAGTTTGGGTTTTTTTGTGTGTGGATGGGGCCTTAGCCTTGTGCATTGAGCGGGCGCTCTACCAAGTGAGCTAACCACATTCAAGCTTGGATAATTTTGGGGTTGCTAGTGTAACTACCACTTCACACTCATTATTAACCTAAAACACAGTTCCAAAGCAGCTTTGGGGGCAGTAACAATCTTATGGTTTGAGTAAAACACCTATAGACAGAGTCAAAAATACTCCAGACACGCATCCTCTGAAAAGTTGCCCAACTCATGAGTGTCCATTTGTTCTTTCCAGAGGTGTTTCAGAAGCACCGGTATGAGCTGAGGATAGCTGGAGGTGCAGTACGAGACCTGCTGTCTGGGAAGCAGCCTGAAGATGTGGACTTTGCCACCACAGCCACTCCAGAGGAGATGAAGCACATGTTCCAAAGTGCTGGGATCAGGATGATCAACAATAAAGGAGAGAAGCATGGGACTATTACAGCAAGAGTAAGAGGCTGACCTATTTGAGAGGGCAGGATGTGGCTGTACCCTGCTTTCACTAATCATTGTTAGGAAAGATGCTTCGAAGACTCCTTTAACCATCTGCTAGGTGCTTTTACTTTTTGCAGAAGAATAGCTGCTCATTCAATCTTCAGCGATACTAATGTAAGGTAATCATGAAAAACTAGTTCACTCTGCTTTTTACTACTACTTACTACTGCTCACAGAGTAAACCGACATTTACAAATGTGCAGATATTTAGTAAATACATGACACAGTCATTCGAACACATAAACTTCAAAGTGTATATCCACAGGCTATAGTACTGCATGGGTCATTTTCTTCTTCCACATGGAATCAATCTGTCTTGATGGATGGATTAGCCATCCTGATGGATTGTTGGAGAACCTTCCACAGATCAGCAGCCCAGAAACAGGAAGCTTTGCATCTGATTGATTTCTTTATTCCTGGAATATGTAAATAAGTTGCACCTAATGAGGAGTGATGTGGCTTCCACCATATGGCTCCAACAGGTTGGATAAATACAGAAATGCTACAAATTTAATTTCTAATGGCATAAGGTGGTTTTACCATGTACCGACTGAAACACAACCACCCTCAAGTGAGTGAGTGGAAAGGGACATTGACCGAAGAATCAGGGTTAATGTACATGACACTTGGATTCACAGCAGCTTGAGCGCAGTCTTTGCTGTGCCTCTAGTTATCTGTCTTTTTATTTATTTGTCGCCTTTCATAGCTACACAATGAGAACTTTGAGGTGACCACGTTGCGAGTGGATGTCCAGACAGATGGACGTCATGCGGAGGTGGAATTCACCACTGACTGGCAGAAAGACGCTGAGCGGAGAGACCTCACCATCAATTCCATGTTTTTAGGTATTAGTGGTATTAGTTTTTTCCTCCACTGAATTAAATGAACTCGAAATGTATATTTCTTGTATTGTGTTGTGGAGAGCATGTGGTATCACTAAATTCTTTACCGTATTTTGGTGACGTTTTCCCCCTCACAGGACTTGATGGCACGTTATATGATTATTTCAAAGGATACGAAGACCTGCAGAACCGTAAAGTTAGGTTTGTAGGCAGTGCTGAACAAAGAATCCAAGAGGACTACCTGAGGATATTGCGCTATTTCAGGTGTGCTGCCTCATTTCTCTTTCAGCTTAGTTTAAGTGAAAGAAGAAAATCACTGTTGTTTGACATAAGCGCTTTGACCTCAACCAGCTCATGTCACTCCAGGTTCTACGGCAGGGTGGCACTGGAGCCTGATGACCACGAGCCTGAGACGCTGGCTGCGATTAGGGAAAACGGTCGTGGACTTGGAGCTATATCAGGAGAACGGATCTGGGTGGAATTAAAGAAGCTTGTTGTTGGTGACCACGCTGCTCATCTACTGGAGCTGATGTACAGTCTGGAACTGGCCCAGTACATGGGTGAGAGGGGAGGAAAGGGAAAGATTTTACATGTGATTTCTGAAAAAAGGGGCTGGTTATGGTAGTACCTAAACAACAAAAAACAGTATGTGCCACACTCAGCTTTAATTGTTTTATTACTAAAATGTAATTGACATGTATACTTTTTGTAATACGGAATAGACAAACTTTTTTTAAAGTAACTTTTCCTGACATCTGAGGGGGAAGGAGAGGAGGATATGCGCAACGAAGGTCACCGTCCGGATTTGAACCACGGACATTGTGTTTACACGGTCAGCCTTGTAAAAAGGCCACCAGGACACATAACAAAAACATGAACTTGTTCATGACATGATGACCGTTATGACATCACTTATCATTACTTGGCTTCAAGCAGAGAATGCCTTTTTATGAGTCGTTTTAAATTTTCGGGAAACGACTCTTGCTGAGAGATGGATAAGAATACTGAAACTGGAAACAGGAGACTAGAAGCAGTTGGAAACTGCAAGCCTGCCTCTGTTCAAAGTTTAGGAAATGTTACAGCATAATTGCAAACTGACAATTTTATATTTCAGTTTGTATATGGATTAAACAATATGCCAAGTAGTGAGCTGATAGATGGATTGTTTTTTTTTTTTTTACATTGGACAGAGCCAGTCTGGCTGTGTCCCCCCGCTAAGCTAACCACCCGCTGGCTCTAGCTTCATGCTTAACAGACAAGACGTCAGAGTGGTATCAATATACTCCCCAACTAGGGTCGAACTATTCTACTTCTGATCATAGTTCTGCTTTCAAGTGCTTTCTGTATAGATCCCTTTTTGATAAACTGGCAGCTGGGGGGAATAGTGTTTAAAATAATTAGTTGAAATATTCAAGCTCAGTTTAACACTTAAGAAAAATTTGAAATACTAACAACATAAAATGCTGCATGTATAGGAAGCAGCATGAATTAAATCACATGACGGCAAAGAAAAGATGTCTAGAGATGCAACTAGCTGCAGCATGACCCTGACTAATACAACATGGAAATGTACTCTATATCATGTGTTTACTTAACATCAGAAAGAAGTGTTTTGCTTGGATTGCTTTTTGCCCATGTAGCCCAGTTTGGTTACAAGAAAATGCGCTCACTTGTTAGAACATAATTTATTTTTTTGTCGTGTCTCAGATGCCTTTTGAAAATGGTCTGAGAGAACATGCGCCCTGCTACTTTGTCATTGTTTGAACAGTACAGGCGTAAGGGGGATCAATAGTGTCGAAGCTCAACAGTTCTCAAGAATCTGACAATGTGGAGTTTCTAAATGGTGAAAGATTCAACTTTCCATCCCTGAGATGGAGTGGATTAAATGCTTCTTGACCTCTGTGGTATTGTGATCTCTGGTAATAGTCAGCACTAGACAGAGATGCTTCAATGCCTCTTGACTATTTATCTCTTCTCAGGTTATTTAGTAACCACAGAAGAAGGATACCAATACTTCAGGCATGATATCAACAGGATCCCAATAAAATGGATTGCAAATGTAACCAAGTTTTTTGGTCTTTATCTTGTTTAGTTCGTGTAGCTGTTGTCAGTTGTGCTCATCCCTCTTGTCCCTGCTCCTCCTTAGGTTTACCTCCAGATGGCAATGTTGAGGAGATGAAGCGAGTGTGGCAAAACGCCAAAGACCACTCTCCCAAACCCATGACCATCCTGGCTGCTCTCTTCCACTGCCCGGAGGAGGTGGAAAAGATGGATATCCGACTGAAGGTGTCCAGGGAGGAGAAGAATCTGGCCCTGTTCCTGGTCAAACACAGAAGGGAGCTCCGTAAGAGCGAAGACGAGCCGGACAGCCTGAAACCCTTCACTGACTTTATCATTGACGTAAGATTCAGATCCTCCACTTAGGCTGTAGAAACAGTGTCAATAGTTTGTGTGTTTTTATAATATTTAAAGGTTTATTTAAATTTATAGCGGGACGCTTACCAGAACAATTTGGTCATTGATTTTAGCCAGAATTCAGAGTGGATATGACCATCAGCATGTCACGTGCCAGTGAAAGTAGCCTGTGATCACCTGTGAAAACTTAATGTGGAGCTGAATGATCAGGCACCTGTAATGCAGTGAGACATGAACTCGCAAATCCAAAGTACCTGCAAGCTTTCAGTGTTGAGTGCATTCCTGGCTGCTAGATGAAGTTCATAAGATATGCTTTGAATTAGATCTGAAACGATTTGTCAATCAACAGAAGATTAATCAGCAAATATTTTAATGATCAATTAATGCTTTTTGCCAATTTTAAGCAAAACATCACTGGTTGCTTGTTTTCTTAGTTTTCTATGATAGAACTGACACAATATGTTCACACACAAAAAGCAATTTACAGACATCTCTTTGGGCTCTGGGAAAATTTGATAACCATATCCCCCTGATAACAAGCGATTATTGATTGATTAATTTAAAAAAAATTCACACCCTTTTACTCATTTCCTTGACATTGCTGGACAGTGGTCCATCTGCAACCATAGCTCTTATCTGAATGCAACATGTTCCTACCCATCTGTTAGTTCTGACCAAAATGGATCTGTGTAAAATACTTGGATTTGTTCAGGTCTGAGTTTAATGAATCTCTTCTCTTTCATTTCTACCAACAAGCAATTACAGAACATTCTAGTGGTCATTTCTGGCTAAACTTTAAATCATAACTGCAGTATTGTTCAACCTGGACACTATTTAATAAATTGGTACAGGATGAGTGAGAGCGCTGCAACCAGCAGATCAAAACCAGGCTATAGCGCAAGTCCTGCAGGGCAATTCCATAAACTAAAGTGCTAAAGTTTTTGCCACTGACAGGCTGAGATTGTTCAGTGTCGGACAAAATTATGGAAAGGATCCCTACAGAGATGGACCTTTTTTTTTTTTCTTTTTTTTTTTAAGAGTAAGATCCTTTTTGTTTAGGCAGAAACCGCTGCTAAATCACTCTATTCAGTCATTTTAGTGCGCAGACCACAGGAGTTGCTGGTCTACCGCTGCCTCCATCTCTTTTGTTTGCATTGTTGTGTGACTTTGATTTTTTTAAAGGGTCATAAACACCAACACCAATACCAACACAATAACACAACACTAACCAATTGAAGCAGCGGTAAACCAGAGAGGAAAAATCACTACTGGAATCCGGTAATAACAGTCTGAGCCTGGCAGAGGCAAAATGATAAGCACTGAAGTCGGCATACTTTGACGGTGCGCATTTACGTGGAAGGATTATGTTGCAGCCCGTTTCAGCTTCTACCGGCTGCAGCGCTCTCCCTCAATACTAGACCTACTGTATTTCAAAAATAGTTGTCTCCATCAGTGGTGCTTTCGCACCTAACTTGTTTGTTTTGGTTAAAATGTTGGTGTGGATCGTTTGGCCCGGTCAATCAAACTCTGCTGTGGCCCAAACAACCGGGCTTGAAATGTTTCCTTCCAAGCAGTTTGTTCGCTTGTGATGCAAATGAACCAGCCACAGGAGTTTAGCATAACAGATATGTGATTTAGAAGAGATCTTATAATTTATGTTTTCATGTGTATATACTCATGCAAATCATTTGGTATGCACATCACTGTGGCTTTTTCCCTGATAATCTAGAGTAACTTCGAAAACTTGAATGTGCTTCGAGAGCCAAATGTAGTACAGCACAAAACATAAAGGCCAATTTAAAAAAACAAAAACCTACATCAGATAAACAAAACAAAAATAATAATGATAAGAAGAATTTATTTAGTTTTATTGAGTTATATGGGTATAAATTAGTTTTTTTGGGTTGGTAATCTATAAAGTATCTATACCTCTTAACAGAAGGGAGTAGCTGGAACGCCACTGAAAATGGATGGGATGTATCCATGCAGACCATGTCTGCTTTCTCAGTCAGCCTGGTCAGGTACAGCTGGTTCAGACCAGCCTGTTGTTCCTCCATTATTTTCCCACAGGTCTTATATATGATACAGTTTTTTGGAATTGGTGTTCCAGTGAGTAATTTGTGAGATTAATAGATCAAAAGCTATTAAAAATTCGTGTTTATACTCTGTGTCAGTTCATTAAGTCAGTTTAAAAAGTGTATGACATCAATTCCACAGTAATAAGCCCCGAGTCATTACTGTACAAGATGCCTCCTTGTCGTACTGTCTGTACCTCATTCATCACATGCAGTCGATTTGCTGTCTAATAATGCTTGATACTTATTTCTTCGTGAGCTCTTTGTGACACCAAATAACAGAAATATATGCATCAGAAGCAGCAAGTGCAGCATAAAGTTTCGTCAGTCACCAGAATTTGATTTCCCCACGTGGATGCGCTGATGATGCAGGATGGCAATCGCCAAAACTATCCAGTCGACAAGTCACCTGCCCTTCTGTATCACTTCATATATTTACTCGTCTTGGTTTGTTTGTAAAAAGTCACTTTGAACAGAAACTGAACCAGAACTAACTAACAATGTATAATTGTTTTTCCTCGGTCCTCACCAGATGAACTGAACTACTGTGTTTAGTGTGCTAGCCACAAAAAGATGGGAAGATTGGGTCCTGGTTGAAAAATACCAAAGTTACCCTATAACATGAGTTTTACTTCTTAGTTTAGTACTTGAACTTTTCTCAAAACAGTAAGAAAACAGAAATTTATGTTTAAAAGTTCAACATAAATGGATTAAAAAGAGTTTCCAAAGGATTCAGATGTGAAAACCTCATTCAAAACTGGGTTTAGCTTCAAAACGTCTGTATCGAATCCCAACACTACACTGCAGAATAACTAGAATGTTTCAAAGGCCTTTTCTCACAATTTTCTCAAAGCTTAGGTGATATTGTCTCTACACACTGTTCATGAACACACAGGTGGTGTTTTCTTTCCTGTGCTCTTTGTACTGGTCTAAATTGGGCCAGCTCAGTTGGAAAAATGTGATGTCACGAATTTTTGACACCAAATATCCTGATTGATTAGGAATACTTGAATGAAAATGTGATGACAGTAATGGGGTTGTTTGCTTATGTAGTCAACTGCTGTCAGTCAAAGTTGATCAAACCACACCCACACAGTCCTGATGAAGCAGATTAGTGTTGATATTTGTAGCCAAATGTTAAACTCTAAATAGATGTGTTTTTCCTAACTTCACATTTAATTATTTGTATGTTACAGAAAAAAAACTTTTTCTGGGGCTTAAATTCACACGCATTCTGTGCCTTTTCAGAGTCGGGAGCTGGATTCTCAAAGTAAAGTGTGTGAGCTTCTGAAGTATCAAGGTGAGAAGAAGCTGCTGACAGAGCTCTGCAGATGGTCCGTCCCACGCTTCCCCGTCAGCGGTCACGATCTGAGGCGGGTGGGCGTCACGTCAGGCAAGGAGATAGGTGCCGCCTTACAGAAGCTCCGTGACATCTGGAAGAAAAGTCGTTATCAGATGGACAAAGATGAACTCCTCAGTTACATAAAGCCTTGAAAGAATAGAAAAGCAGAGGTGTTTTTGTGTGTCAGACAATCACACATTACACTGTAATTGTGCTGACAGGTATTAATTGAGCAGACGGATGCATGTTTGATAAAGGACACTACAAGAATTTAGACATGCATGAATGCAATTTCATTATAAATTACCCCAGAGCCGGAAATTTGACAAGATCACAAACAATATGCTCTCAGCATCAGAGCTGCCACCATGTGAAAACATGTGCACTGGACAATGGCAGCTGATTTCATCACAGGTGTTATTACAGAACTGCTGTTAATGAAAATTCCTCATTTAAATCTTCCTTGGATGTCACTAGTTCAACTGGTGTGATGAAGGCAGATGAAACATGTAGGCAGGGATCTGTGATGAAAAATGAAATAAAGTGTTGGTCATTAACTATAGAAAATAGTTATTTTCATTGTTAAAACTATATTGGAAAGCAGAAGCTTAGTTTAGTTTTTTATTTTTCTTCAGTTTAACTGCAGTTTTGTATTTCTTTGCAAGGTTTTAGTAAAGAAAATGTTTGTTTGTGTACATTTTATTAAAAAGACATGGTGATTCTTTAGTTTGTGTGCATGCACTGCCTAAAACAAAGCATATTTTAATTTACTAACAGGTTGCTCCTCCCTCTTGCAGAGATGCGATATAAAGCCCTCTCCTGTACTAACGCCTCAGCTTCCACCTGCAGACTCTCAACACTTGTTGCTTACTGGAAATTCACCCTCTAAACTCCCACAGCGATTTCTTTCAGGGAATTACCTTGTGATGGAACTGGTCTAACTCCAGGTTGCCTTACATATTTTTTGTGTATTTTAGTAAATGCATCAGCTAAGGCTTGCGTCACCTGGAATACTTTTATGACGTGTTCAGCTACTCGTTTCTCTATTTAGGGTGAAAGCATGGCTTGGTTCAGTGTAAATCTCAGTAACAGTAACATCACTTTGGAGGGGGATGAGCCGCGAGATGAGAACTTGGCTAAAGTGGAAATAAGTCTCCTGTCCATCATCTTCTTCACTTCAGGAATCCTAAACTTCGGGCTCCTGTTGGTGCTGTGCAAGCGGAGGAAACAGCTCTCTAGGATGCGCGTCTTCGTTTTCCATCTGTGCGTAGCCGACCTGGTGGTCACATTCTTCCAAGTGTGTCCCCAACTCATGTGGGACATCACTGACAGATTCCTCGGTCCAGATGTATTGTGTCGCGTAGTGAAGTACCTGCAGGTGGTCGGGATGTTTGCCTCCACTTATATGATAGTAGTCATGACGATAGACCGATATCAAGCCGTCTGCAAACCCATGGTGACGTTCCGGAGGCGCAGGGCGCGCTGGAACGGTCCGGTGTGCGCCGCCTGGTGCGTCGCTCTCATCGGCAGCCTCCCGCAGATCTTTATCTTCTCTCGGGTCGAGGTCGCTCCCGGTGTGCACGACTGCTGGGCGCAGTTCATCAAGCCGTGGGGACTGAGAGCCTACGTGACCTGGACGACTCTGGTGATATTTGTCCTGCCCGTACTCACGGTGATTGTGTGCCAAGTGCGCATCTGCCGCACCGTGCACATTAACTTTCACATGAAGACGCAACACGTCGGAGAGGCGGCCAGTAAGCCACTGTCCTCAAGAGCCAGCAGCGTGGCGGGGGTGTCCAAGGCGAGGGTGAAGACGGTGAAGATGACCGTGGTCATCGTGCTTGTTTACATCATCTGCTGGGCGCCTTTCTTCACCGTCCAGCTTTGGTCTGTCTGGGACACCGAGGCGCCCACTCAGAGTAAGATAACAGAGTTTGGGATCTCACAATATTAAGAAAATGGCATTCCAAATCTGTTTGTCATTACTGCACATTATCAGCTGTTAAATTAGAAGAACGATTGGCTATAAACTCCATCATGAGGCAACCAATGACATAAAATGACCCTATTTCCTAATGATGACCCTAACTAGAAATTACTCCTCTGGTAAAACAGATCAAAATATAAGAAAAATTGCCACAGTTGAATATTTGTCTCATTTTCTCAGCTGCAACCTTCACCATCTTGATGCTGCTGGCCAGTCTGAACAGCTGTGCGAACCCATGCATCTACATGCTGTTCAGCGGGAAGCTGCCCAAGAGACTGATGTGTGTGGGTCAGCCCGATGTGCAGGAGTCCATTCAGGAGGAGGCAACCATGGTCAGCTCCCTGTACATCAGCCTCAAGAGCCTGTCAGACTGCAGATGAAAGTACTGACACCTTGGACACTTTTCTCACCTCAGGTTCCCATGGCTCCATCATGAGAGCAAAACATACTGAAATCCTCTAGGTGGAAAGACAGACATCACATTATAATATATATGGAGATCCAGACACACCACAAGTCTCAATAGGGATATTATAGTGAAACATTAACATACTCACATACTTTTCAAGTATCTACGAATTTTTTTTGCCGTGCAATTTTATACAGACCTTAATAGGATGAATACATTTACATTACATTTATTAATTTAGCTGATGATTTTATCCGAAGCAGCTTACAATTGCTGTATTTACGTCAGAGGTCACGTGCCTCTGGAGCAACTAGGGGTTAAGCGTCTTGCTCAGGGACACATTGGTGGACGTGTCACAGTGGGGAATTGAACCCGGGTCCTAACGACATTGATGATCCCCTGACTTTTAGCGATACCAGCAGGTCAAAGTTTTCACTTATCTGAAATCTGCTTGATAGAGTGGCACAACATTTTGTACAGACATTCATGGTTCCCAGGGGATGTATCCTTCTGACTTTGGTGATCCCTTGACTTTGACCATGGGGTTGACATTTATGGTTTATATTGGATGGATTGCATGACATTCGGCTCAGACATTTATGGTCCCCAGGGGATAATTTGTAATGAAGGCAACCTCGGCACCTGCCTTGCATTCTTTCAGCTCTTTTAGCTCATGCCATCGAGTAAATTCCAGTCCGATATTTACTCCTCTCCTGTCTCTTGCTCTCCATTTCTCTTTTCCCCGACAACATCTTCTTCGGTCTCTTTAAGGCGTCTGCCATGATATCCATACTGACAATACCGAGCTAGCTTCTTATTGCTAGCTTGCTGAAGAGTCTTGTTGGTTGGCATAGTGCAATACAAGGGTCCAGAGTAGCAATAACAGAGATGCTATTCTCCCTATTATAAGTCATTGTACCATCAAAAAGGTTTTGAAGCTGTTATTTTAAGATACAATTACTATATGTTGCTTTAATTTGTGCAATATGGTCAATATGTTTTTTACAGAATACCTCAAACTAATGACACACCTAACTAACATGGTAAACATTATACCTGCTAAACATCAGCATGTTAGCATTTTCATTGTGTGTATATTGGCATGTTGATGTTAGTATTTAGCCGGGCTGTAGACTCTTTCTTTTGTAGTGATCACTACACTGTAAAATGTGCCAAAAGGTCTGCGAGCATTCATATTCATGTTAACTGATGTTTGACCTATCATAAGCCCTGCAGTAGGTGTCAGGCTATGCCATCATAAATCTACTGGGCCCTCCAGGTGACACCATTCCCTATGCCTGACCTAACACGCCCTTAAAGGGTACTTTAATATTTTTCAACAATCCTTGTTGGGAAAATAAGGTCCAGGTTGAAAAATACCAAAGTTACCTTTTACCTTTCGATCCTTCATTCACCCAAGCAAAGAGCAGATACTGTGCGGCTTTACTGTCAACCAATAAAATACATTTTATTAGGGAGCCACAGTACAATGTGAATCAGGTTATTTTGCCAGAAAATTTGATTATTAACAAGAATCATGTAATGAACACACAATTTGCATAAAATGATACTTATATTCCATTGCATGTAATTGTTTTTGTCAAAGAGGTATATGTAACAGCTGGTCTTGTGAAATGAAGAGTAATAATTCTCATTTTCAGAAAGTCATCGATGTAGGCTACTGTGTGATTTGACATTTCCCCCAAATGTAAGGGTAATTTATCCTGTAATTATGTAGTAGTTCACATGTATGTCCTTTGAATATGATTATTCTGTCTACTTGTGAAAATATTCATTACACTGTCTGTTTGGCCAGTGTTTCTTAAATCTTAAGTGACTTCGATTATGCAGCAAGATGCTGCTCACTGACAAATGTCAATGTTTACGTTTTTCAAAGACATTTTCTCTGAACGCAAATAAACTGTTGTGATTTTTTACATGTCTGTTTTCTTTCTTCCCAACAGCAACTGTCTTGCTGATAAATCACCCTTTGGGTTTAAAGTTAAAATATTTATTTGCACTCTTGAAAAGGGCTGAGCCATACATACTTCAGTTTGTCGTTTTTTTTCCAGGCCTCTGTTTTTCTGCAGTATGTAACTATATATCTTCCACGTCTTCCATTTGGAGAATTGGAATGTGAGGAAACCATCAGGTGACAGCTAAGAAAAGCAGAAAGACATTTTAGGATAACTGCCATGTTTTGACTCAGTGATTTACAGATGTCTCATAACTGCAGACGAGTTATGACTGAGGTTGTTGATAAACATGAGAAAAATATGGTATATGGAATTTCTATCTGTATACTGCAGACAAACTGAATATTACGTTCCTGTGCAATTGCTTTCACCAAGCTGCACAGAGAAATCCACCAGAAATCTTCCTGCAAATAAGTGCTCTGCCAAGGGTATTTCATATCACTGTTGGTGGGGACAATAAAAACATCTCCTGGCTGGAGATGGGGTGAGGGGGTGAACAAATGAAACAATCTCTCCAAAGTCTGCTGCTTATCTGCCGTTCACATTGTTCTCCTGTGTTGTCGCAAAGTTTCAGAGTGTCCAAGTAACCATAGTAACTCAGTCTCACTCCTGCCTGCGGGGGGAGGGGGGGCAGACATTGACTGAGATTACTCTGAGCAACTTCTCACCCCCCCCCCCCTCCCCATGGTTGGAATAACTAACTAGATTTGTAGTTGAAAAAGGGACCAACCAATCTTTTAAAACCGCATTGGACTCATAGTAGAGAACAAGAGCCTTTAACTGTTTGTGTGCCAAAATACTAGACACTGACGGACAACAGTGGTTATACACTGCTCAAACAAAATTAAAGGAAGTGATGAAGAAAAGGTTTGAGCTAGGCCAGTTGAAAACCCAGAACATATTTTCGCCGTTCTAAGAATCTTTGCTAAAACAGACAGCAATTTGGGGTCCAGAAACTTACTGGAGTCAGTCAAACAATCTGAGCAAGACAGCTTTTATTTATTCAGAAGACAAATACTAAACACCGTCTTTTATAGTCCTAATATTCCCTCTTTTCCCCAAATTCATTTTTAATTCTCCTTCTAGGGCACTTTTCCCACTCCAACATTGTTTTCCTAGGTAATTTTCCATTCCATAACTTATGTCTGAAACTAGTATTGCATCGCCCTAACCATGCTACACACCTCTGTGAAGCTAGGAGGCTCAGCTTGAAGCTCAAACCAAACATTTGTAACTGAGGCAAATAGTGAGGGGTTCAAACCCCCAAACATCTTAACAGTTGCCATATACTGTAAAAGGATTCTGTGGTCATGAAGATTTGAATTAGTGTATTAGGTAAAATATATTCAAT